AATGCCGCATAGTTCAAACTGCCAGCTGCCAATTTCAGCAAGGGCCTGACGGGGCCTAATGCTGAAAAATCAACAGCAGAAGAAGCACAGGAGAAAAGCAACGCAGCAGGATCAACAACAACGGCAGCACCACGCGGAAACGAGAGGGCAGGGACGTCAGCAAGGTGAACTGCAAGAGTAGCATCGCCAGCATCACAACAACAATACAACTGCAACAGCAACTGGCAGTGTCATTGCTTCGGCCAGAGCTATGTGCAGTGTCACCTTGCTACGAAGTGTGTAGCGCTTGTCTAAATAAAGTACTGCAACGATTAGTGGACGACCACTCATCAATAGTAGCGGCAAAAAGGCATACACACACAAGACGCCAATCGCATCCCTCAGAGTCCAAGTACCGGATGATCACATAGTGACCAAGGACTAACCTAGAATTCCATGCTCAACCCGAGTTCACCTTATTGGATGCTTCGGACTCTTAGTCAGGGCTCCAAGAGTCGCCCTTCATAGCCCCCATAGGACGCCAGAACTGAAGCCGCTACCTAACGATTCAGGAATCCGCTTTTTGAAAAAATCGGTTTAGGGTTTAGGGTTCCCCCTCCCCAACAACGATGAAGGCACCCTCTTTTTCAAAGATGAAAGCCTGAAAGGAGGCCTGGTCCACGGCTTCGTGCAATCCTGTGGGAACCTGAGCATCTTCGGGTTCAGCACCCGAAAATGGGGGACCCTAATATAAGTAGATAGTAGGATCCTTATTACAAGGACTCTAAAATAAGGTACCCCTAATTATCGGAAACCCCCAAATATGGTAAGGCTGCAAGTATCCTAAAAGGGGCTATAGCTTACTTATCCAGAAGCTTAGCTGCTAGGTCCCATGGTCCGGCATATACGTAGATCTTACCGTCGACAGGACACTAAGGCTTTAGGGTATATACCCATTTGGGAAGCAGAACAGGGAACTACAACGATGAACTGCCACCATCACCTTGACCCCTACGGATCAATGTAAGCGGCTTACCGACCAGAATTGGGTATAAGATCCTAGTACCGCGACAGCATCTAGGAAGCAGAAGGGAATATGACGAATATCTCCTCTGACCCTATGTGATCACCTTGATTCGCATAGCTGTTAACTCATGTTGTTGCCGGGTTTTGAATGTTCTTCGGGGCTTAGAGGGCGCTGTATGGGTTCAAGTAGTTAGGGGTATTCGGGTTTATAGCACTGACAGCAGGTGTTCTGCGTTGAGGGCTCTTCATGTGGGTTCAGTGTTTGGCAATCCGGGTTCGGGCCTAGTGCTGCAGGGGCACAGAGAGACGTGTCTGTTTCTCTGTAGCATGGGGGCCATCCCCCATTCAATGCCAAGGAATTTGATTAAGATCTACAGCACACTCGTAGAACCCGATGAAAACCCCTCAGTAGAAGATTTAACCTTGAGAAAGCAGTTCTGCCCAATCTCCACTCTCCCACACACCGCGAACCTGTACTCCACACCTGCTTGGGTTCTGGGTTTTTAAGAAGTTGAGGTGCTGGCCTTTCTTTAGTGACCCTGGCTCCCAGCAGCGCTTTGGTGGTCTTGGGACAAGGTCTATATAGGGTTTATGGAAACCTTGAGAACTTTATTCCAAAGTAAGACGCATTGCTAGCACCTGTGTTAAGACGGCCCCTTACAATCCCTGAACAATTCTTCAATGGGGTCCTCCTGAACCCAACAACACAGCGGGAGATTTCCGCCTTGTAACCGATTTCTCCTATGGGTGTTCAGACAATCGGGGACCGTCATAATGGAGCTTGAGAGTTGGATCCTCAACCGGAGCAGACGTGAACAAGGAACTCCCAGTATCCTACTAAGAACTACTCTTGGAAACACCTATTATTCGCCCCGATCGAATCTTTGTCAACCTGCCAATACAAAGGAAGCCCCCCCCAGCCAAAAGCATCAATTAAGCACAACAGCGGCCTCAAGAACTCAAGGACTACAAGGGGGCATTTTTGACGAATCATTCCGACCCTTGCAGTAGAAGCCCAAAAGTTGGAAACCCTATAGCCTCAATCCTTAAGAGTAGTGTATAGGGAATCCCAGCACTATTTGGCCTTCATCCGGTTTCCAACTTTATGGGGTTTACTGTATATCACCTCTATAAACCCTAACCCCTGATAAACACCAAACCGCATCGTGGATCCACTCGTCTCTCTGGGCACCAGACCACCCCGCACGCCAATAACGCAGCCACGGAAGGAAAGTTTCCGAGCTTCCTCGGCAGTCAGAAGCAAGATTCGGGACGATACATGTGTGCAGAAAAAAAGTATATATATATATATACACATACATACACACATATGTATGTATATACACATAGTGTGCATTACTTATGTACTTACTCAGCCAACTAATGTATTTTGCACTGATTTATGTATCTGCTTCTGGGGTCTGGAGGATGTAAGGGCTTGCCTCTTTGGATTGCCGAAGGCCTAGCATGGTCAGTCAGGTGGAGCCCTTTGGCTGCATGCGACCAGCGCATGCCCGAGGCGATTGGCAAATGCTCCCCAAAATTGTGGAATGTGGCTGACAGGTCCGATACACAAGACTCTTACGGGTTGACATGCAAGCAGTTTGCTTGAAGATGGGGTTGGGTCAGCAGGAGCTGCAAGCGCCGGGACAGTTCAAGGATGCTCTCTTTCTAGGAAGAGGCCAGGGTTGGGATGGAGGTTGAGGGTCAAAGAGGCAAGATTTCCACTGCTCAAGGCTCCTTGGTCTTCGTCGGCCTTCCGAGGGTCCATCATCGAGAGGACTATTGCAGTACCGGGGCACGAAGCAATGAACGCCCAAGCTTGAGATCTTTTTCGTCCCGCAGTGCAGGACGGGAGTCAAATGATGCTGCTTTGCAGCTAGCAAACCGAGATGCCTTCTTGCCCGAAGAACAGTTCTGGTCGCAACAGAAACCCTCAAATGGGGCCTACGGTGAGTGATGAGCACATGCTTTTGGACCACTTGCAAAAAGACCTCTGTCGGTGTTACATGGGATTAAGCTCTACTGGGATAATGATCGGGTGAATAGTATGGAGGTCTTGCATTCTCATCCTGTAAGCAGAAGGCGATGCAATCTTCGGTGCAGGACAAAGAAGCATAAGGACACAGGGAGGAACAGCAATCGATTGAAGCTTTCGTGGAGAAGCTCGTGCTGACTGTACGCATCTCAAGGCGTTAAAATACCCTGAGCGCCTGAGAACTCTGCGGACCATTGACCAGTGTCCATCCTAGGGTTATGTCTATGTATATTTAAGGGCGGACAGCCGCGCAGACCAGTAGCAGCAGCCTTCATCCAAGTCCTTAATCCTGTACTCCGGGCTTTGAGGCATCCCAGGGTTGTCCGTCACGCCTCTTGGACGACGCACAAGGTTCCTCATTGGCTTGCAAGGGATTTGGATGTCGAGGCTGCGGATTCGGACTAGATAGCCCTGCCCAGAAATCTGTGTGGTTCGTAGTAGGGCATGGGGGAATGGGTTGTGGGGACTATTATTTGGGACTACAAAAGGGATCCATTCCCCAATTCCCCAGACATCCCATACCCCCTAAAACCTCTAGGTTTTCCCGCCACATGGAAACCGAAACTCAGCAAAACTGACCACGACGTATTGTTTAGGGCTGAATCGTCACCAGCCGGCAAGCCGCGAAATGCTGCAGCGCTTGTCGACGAAGTGGGCTTCACGCACGCGGCTGCTCTCTGGCAAAATCACTCAACATCCTCTATAATGTCTACCACGAACAAACTCCGACAGATTTCTGAAAACCATACAACCCAAATCCCCCAGCACAAAACACTATCGGATACGCCGAAAACATCTAAAAGTAAAAGCAAACTTCCCTGAGGGCTTTGAACCCCCGGGAGCCAGAGCCTCTGCAGAGGGAGGGGCCCAGAGACGCAAGGGGCGGGGACGGGGGGAGTCTTTAGGGTTTGGGTTCTAATGTAGGAACCTGATTAAGAAACTTTGGGTGGGCCCTTTATGAGGGTTCCGTATATGAATCCTACTATTTGGGGGGGGTTTAGGCCCAGGGTTTCTTAATCAGGTTTCTAAATTAGACGGTCAGAGATTTTTGTTTCTGAGTTCCAACGGAGTTCCAGGGTCTCATGGTTGGGGGTCGCAGATTTGGGGGGCGGGCAGGCTGGGGTTTGGGTGTGGAGTTTGGATGGTGCGCTTACTGAAAGGATCATGGGACTTAGTCACGAAGTTTATAGTTAAGGAAGGTATCTGTACTTATAATTACTTCTAACCCCAATTAAGGTACTTGAAAGCCTACTTACTAAGTCCCATGATCCTCCAAGTAGGGTCTGGGTGTTTTGCTGACGGCACTATCAGGCACAGTGAGGCTTGGTCTCCGGCTCTGCAACTGCAGCGGCTGGACAAAAATGCAAGCCACATGCATTAGATCTCAGCGGCAACGCCCCTATTTGGCGAACTGCACCGCGATAACATCATCATCCCCGGCGAAACCTGCTGAAAGGAATCCTGATTTGTGATACTCGCGAAAAGTAACATTCGAAGCCCTCTGCGAGGAGGATTCAGTTATTGCCTGTTCCTTTCTACGTAGGCCACGTTGGCTCCCCATACATGTAGGGAAGCTGAGCAAGACTTGCTTGCAATCCACAGTCTGGATCAATGAGCTGATGGGTTCAGGCATTTAAGGCTTGGGTCAGCGTAGTTTTGCCAGGGGTTGACAAACTGCGAGTGCCTGCGCACTGGCTTCGTGGCTCCAGCGCCGGGGCCACGATTGGGCTGTACAAACTGGACATGCTGGTGCCAGCACTTTGGTCGAAATCATCGACATCGGAAACCCCCATTCGGGTTCTCTAGGAAAGCTCCAGATTCAACAGGATCTGTCTACGCTAAGGTCCCTCTCAGAGTCCTCATCACAGGAGTGCATCGTACCATTATCGTACGCCGAAAAAAGAGCCGGATCTGGAGGAACTCCCATGAAGCGGAAGATCACACCCAGCGGAAAGGGCTACCTGCAAGCGCGTCGAGATGGGTATCCTCATATATTATCAAAAGAAAGCCGTAGCAACAAAAAGAATAAGCCCTAACTCTTGAATGTTTAATCCTAATCTCCAAGGCCCTACAACTCTGAAGCCCTTAAGCTCGAAGTGCTCAAAAACTGAGAACCCTCGGTAAAGAAACACTGGGCCCCGAACATACCTACACTAGTGGTCCTGGTGGTGACCTTGGTCAGAGCTTTTGTTTTAATGCATTAGGGCTTGGGGTTTAGGGTTCAGGTTTGCAGGATTCAGAACTTTGTTGTTTTAGGGCCTTGGGTTTACAATGACGGTTCAAACTCATGGACCAGCCTGCGCCGTCGTTGGCTCCAGCTCCTGTGGTGAGCACCAGCGAATACAAACTCAACACCGGGATTCTGTGATATGGGCCTCCCGGCCTCCCTCCCAACAAAATCCACACTTCAGCCGGCTTTGAGGGGTCTCTTGTAATCTTATGGTCTCATGATGTAGACCTCGTCTTGATCCCTTATGCATCTTTGTAGAGCCCTCACACAGAAGCCCTTGTTGAAAGCCCTTTAATCAAATCCAGCTCCTTCACAAAAGCCTGATAAGATCCTGAACCCTAAATCCTAAACTCTAGCATCCTAAACAACAGTATACTTTGCTCCTAGGCCCTAGACCATACTCCATTCCTAAACTCCAAGACCCTAAGCTACGTAGTGTTCCTAAAACCAGAGCCCAGGCAACTCCCTGATCGGTCTTTGGCGGCTCTGGTGTCGGCGGTGGCTTCGGAAAATCCTCGACACCGCAGGGCTCTGAGCATCAAACTCTCGCAGCTTATCTTCTTTAAAGTTTTAGGGAAGCTGTCAACAAGCATTTTCTCCACAGCGTCCTCTCTTGTGTAGTTCTCATGCCCAACAGATTTGTTAGCATGCTTTCGTAGATTCGTAGTCTTCTTCTTATTTGCATACCGTCTTATATAGGTTGTAGGGCTTGAAAGCAAAGGTTTGCCGCTTTACAGTCGATTCATAGAGTTAAGGGGTTCCTAACCTTGAGGTTCCGGTGTGGGACCTGCCGACCCAGCCCTGTTCAAGTTCTATCATGTTGCTTCTTATCACTCCCCTGGTCGACCTCCCGCATGCGCCCCCCCTTCCGGGCTTTGCAGGCTTTGGAGTCATTAAGACTTCAAGCAACTTGAGCCGCTCTCAGCCCCCATAGGCCCCAAGGGGCCTACAGGGCTCCGAAGCCCGAAGCCTTCGAGCCCCCCCAAACGCGCGAAGGCCGAGAGGCGGCTCCCAGAACGATGAGAGAAGCCTCGAAGTTTGGGGGGGGGGGGGTCTTGGGGGTCTTGGGTCTCGGGGCTTTCGGCAAAAAAGATGGCTCAAGCATCAGAAGAGCTGGGGTTTAGGGCATGTGCTAGGGCGAAGGGCTTCGGGGTGTAAGGATTGTATAAACATGCTCCTTTCTTTCCCAGAGCCCGTTTTTCCATGCTAGAAGGAAACAATTCAAGCACCATTGCGGGTACTGTTTTCTCCGTGCCTAAGCAAAAAAGAAACGGTGGCGGAAATCGCATGAGTGCCTGAACGCAACATGTCGGCAGCTCTGGCGGATGCGGAGGATGCTTATAGTTCATGGTCGGGACCTTTCCTTATTGGGTTTAAGTACCCATAAGATCTGGAAGGTTACCCAACTATGACAAAGGCTTCAAAGAACACAACCAACGAAGGCAGCAAGTTCAAGCCCAGATAGACGCAGGAGGAAGTGGGATTTGAGCACCAATCAACAACGTGACATGTCAAAACCTTCAGGCAAGTTGCACCCTTCTTTTCCGCCACCGCCGGCACCTTCTCAGCAGGCTTCTCCACACGCGGAGTAACGGCCTCGTGCTACTCCAGCTTTTTGCTTAACGCACTCAGACACACAAAAGGGAAGACTTTACTTGAAGCTCGGCACAAGCAAGTACCGGTAGCATGATAATGTCGACGGTTGTGAACACGGACGGCATCGGAGAGTTTCGAGAGTTTGGGGGCGGCCGTGTTACTTCTGAGAGGTTTAAGGGCAACGCTTCGGACACGCATAAACCGGTGCCCTACCGCAGCCACTCGTTCCTGAACGCGCAACAACCCACAATGTCTGAGGGGCTGGAATTATAGGATCCTTAAGGGAACCTTAGGGAGTACTAGGGAGAATTAAAAATCACTAGGCTATATACCCCCCTTGGACCCCCCTCCCTTAAGGATACTACAATAGAAGGCACCGTAAGTCTTCGGAGATTCACTGCACCTTCGGTCCAAGCCCTACACGTCTATAATGCCTACTTGGAGGATCATGGGACTTAGTAAGTAGGGGTATAAGTACCTTAATTTGGTAGGGTTATAAGTACCTTAATTGGGGATATATCAGTAATTATATATACAGGTACAGCTACAATGCCTACTCTTTTCCTTGCATCCCCCAGAACGGCTTCTCGCTGGGAGCCCCGGCTGGCAGCGTGCTCCTTTCTGAAACTTGGGGGTTCTGCCCTACACGATCTGGGAGTTTCCGAAAATGGGGGTACCTTATTTAGGGGTCTTCATAATAAGGATCCTACTATTTAGGGTACTATATTGGGGTCCCCTATCTCCGGAAACCCCCATATTGAAGGCTTTGTAAGGCCGTACACGGGTCGTCCGCAGAGGGCCGTAAGTCTTCTTCGAAATTCCGGTAGAGCAAAATCTAAGGTCAGAGTGGGGCTCCTTGACGTAACATGGTGAATTAAACAACTAGGGTCGACACTGGTCATGACCGCACAAGGTCCCTTAAACCCTTAAACCCTTCTCATGGATGTTGCAGGAGCCATGCCTTAACCCTGAAGAAGCTACCTTTTTAGGGCTCCTTATTATGATTTCTTTATATAAGTCCTTAAAAATGTAGGTTCTTCGGGGTTAAGGTGGGGCTCAGGTTGGGGGCTAAGGGCTCGGAATCGAAAGTCCAAGAACCAGACTACGGTGGACCGTCAAGGGCTTCGGGCATTGGAGTTGAGGCTTACAGGCCTCTGGGGGCTTGGCTCTTTGTGCTTAGACTTTAGCAATTTTTGACGGATGGCTACCGCACCGTGATGACGAGATAGAGTTCTTTCGGGCTGATCTCGCGCCACTTAGTAGGGGACTGAAAGCAGTCAAATCCGGGCATCCTCTTCCCTACATGACCTCAATACTGCATGCAGGTTAAGAGTGGTACCCCATGTTACCCTTTATTAGGTTGACTCAACACCAGGATATATCGACACACCCCCAAGCATGCCAGCGTAGGTCCCCAAACCGAGATAAAAACCATCATGATGACCATGGACACCACGACGACCCCTACGACAACGACCACCGAGCCGCCGGGAGTTTCAGGCTCCGGATGCAGAAAGCAGAGGCACCAGGCCCTTAGTATAGTATGGTATAATATCGTATCGTATAGTATATAGTATGTAGTATATAGCATATAGTATATGGTATATGGTATATGGTATATGGTAGATGGTATATAATTATATAGTATATATATATATATATATATTATATAGTATATAGTCACGTCTATATAGTCCCTGGACCCTGCAGTCCCTGCCATGGCGTCCTCCGCGCTTCGGCGTGTCGCAGAAAGGCTCGCTCAGGGAGAGCAGGCATTGGCGGCGGCGGCGTTACCGATTCCACTTTCTCCCTGGAGGTTTAGGGCTTAGGGTTTAGGGGTTTAGGGGTTTAGGGCTTAGGGTTTAGGGTTTAGGGATTCCACTTTCTCCCTGGAGCTTGGGGTTAAGAAGGGCTCCAGGGTTCAGGAGGGCTAAGCCAATGCGGATGAGCGCTGAGCTTTCTTGGCGTCACTCGAATTTGCGGCAAGGACCATCGCTGTGCCTTCAGCAAGAAGAAAAAACTCCTTGTCCTGTATGACTGCATGACCAACACACGAACAAAGGAATCCAAAGCAATGCCACCAAATGTAGTAGCAGCGATTATTGACGTGTTCATCATCTTTGACTCCCAAACCCAAAGCGTCCGACCTCTGCATTCCAAACCCTGAAAGCTCAACCCAAATGATCTCTACTTGGAGGCGCGGGCTTCATTGCTTCGTTTGGGAGTGGCTGCGTTGAATTCCTATGCTTGACGCTTTGGGCTTGAGACTTCAGAGCCTACGGGGTTGACATGTGTATGTGACTTTCGGCTAAACGGCCTGCAGGGCTGATACTAGCAATGGTGACAGCAACAATAAAGGCATTATTTCATGATCGTGGTATACTGCAGGCTCAGCATCGAGAACGAAAGTACTGGCCATGATGACAGCACCGCTGCAGATTGAGCAACGCGAAGATGTCGATAGCCAAGCAAACGTGCAGCACAGCACGAACGGCACGAACAGGAGCAAGGTATGATCAGAGTGTCGCTGCAGCCACGCCCTAGGCCCAAAACCCTAAACCCTAAACCCAAGATCCTAGACCCACACTTTAGAGTCCGAACCTCTCCGAAGCTCCACTGCCCTCAGTGACTCAGGCCTCACCACTAGTGGCGTCGGGCCCCCAATCTGGAGTGCAATTCCGCCGAGCTGGAAGGGGCGATGCACCCTCGGCGTGCAAGCTTGCGGGCTTTACTACACCTGTATAGAGGTTTATAGGACGTAAGAGCTTTACGATGCAAGGCATTCTGAAGCTTCCAGAGCTCGTGACTTTTTCACGGTGGCTTGAGGTAGAAGCTTAATTAGGATGTCAACGAAGGGCTTTCGAGACTCGGGTTTCGGGTCCCTACATACGAATCCTTGTTTTCCAATCCCTAACAAAAAACTCCGTTTGCAAAAGATTTGAGGTCGTATAACCATGGGCCTTTTTCATCCTATAAACCGGCGGTTGTCAAAATTATGGTCCCTTTTTGGATCCCTAGTGCGGCACCTCCTGTGTAGGGTACCCAAAAAGGCACCCTAATATTGACAACCACCCAAATGCATCGCGTTGCTAAGGAGCTAGAGCTTCGGCATGTTAACAGCCCTGGGTCTCTTGAAAGCTTCGGAAGTGAAACGGATCCGAAAACGGCTCATGCTATGCAGGTTATGTGCTGAGATGGATATTAATAAGATCTCGAGTGCTGCCGGGGGCGTGCTGAACGGATCCGTGTGCTGGGGCATCATATCATGCTTCTACCAACCACCTCAAAGCTTCCAAGTGCCTCAGACACTCCCAAGGCCCAGGAAAGGCGGGCAACTTGTACAGCTGTTCATACGTCTGCTGAAGCCTCGGCTACCCGTCGACCGCTTCGTCGAAACACTGGGACTTCGAGTTGGCAGTGAAAGTTTGGGTTCAGGGTCGTTTCGGCCTTGTCTGTGTTTCCTCGGTTGGGTCGGGCTTGGAATTCTTCTGGGATGTAGGCGGCGGTTTCGCAGGGTTTGACGGGTGCAATACGGAGTCAATGGATTTCAAAGCTGGCCACCTTGATCGTGCTACCTCCATGCTCATTGCTACCAGCCAGGTTGGTCATTGTCATTGCCACAGTAACAGGGGAGTTTCCAAAAATTAGGGGGTACCTTATTTTGATCTCCTTATAATGAGGATCCTACCATTCAGGATACTATATTAGGGTCCCCTATTTTCGGAAACCCTGATATATAGGCAAGTATCGGGAGCTTGCTCACCGCACACATGGTTCAGAGTTGTACTTTCGCAGCTATCTGGTGTATAATGGAAGGCGGGGTATAGGTATAAGTCTACCAAAGGAATAGTATTACTCTCTAAACGCTCTGACACCTTCTGCTTAGAGGAGCAGCAGACTTTGTAGGTACTTGGAGGATCCTGGGACTTAGCAAGCAGTTGGCAAGTAGGGTGATAAGTACCCTATATAATTGGGGTTATGAGCAACTATAAATACAGTTACCTTAACTCTAACCTTATAGTTGCTAAGTCCCATGACCCTTTGTAGGCTTCAGCATGCTTGAGGTGCGCGCCTCGATTTTTCAGGGTTGGGGATTGCGGATTAAAGGCTGTGGGTGTCGGGCTCCGGGCGTAATGTTCTTGGGGGCGTATAGTTTCATGAGCGATTGGAGCATAGCAAGGAAGCGTGAGCTGGCTTTGTATCGTGATCGGCATCAGTTTTGACCCTTCCTGAGGTGAAGGGTAAGGGCAAAACCGAATACCCAGCAAATTTCAACTTCCTTTGGCCGTGGAACAAGTCCAACCGACGACTGCGGCCGTCCCGCACGTCGCGGTCCTGCCTACCATCTGTCTGCCTCGGCATCGGCTTCAATCTATCTAGGTACCGGGTGTAGGCTTCAAGGTTTGGAGTTTCGGGTCCAGGGTTTCGGGCGAACGGTGCAGGCTCAACAGTCTAGGGCTTATTTGGGCTCAGCCTTTGACATTTTCGGGTTTAGGATTTTTCAAGCTTAAGGCACAGGGCTTGGCTTTTTCTCGGTGCTTGGAATTAGAGTCCTAGGGTAGAGGCCTTTGCAACCGAACGGTCACTAGAAAGGTTGAAGCCACCGGGAAATCACCACCGTAAAATCCAAAACCGGCGATCGTCAGAAACTCCTAGTCCGTGCGCCAACCCCTGTCGCTGTGAAGCGTCCTACCCCTAGACCCCCGGGAGGATCCAAAAAGTAGATCCCTTAATGGGGGTTCCTATAGAGTAAGCTTAGTAGTATTCAACCCGGATGATTCAGGGCATTGCTGGAGCAGTGAATCAAGCCAGGTTTTTGGACGAGAACGTGTAGGAACCTATCCAAAACCAAGTTCCCACAGCGTCCTCTTCTCTAGTAGTGTAGGGTCCAAAGTTGGGGGATCTACTTTCTAGATCCTCCCGGGGGTCTGGGCCAGCGAAGGTCGACTCCAGCACACGGAGCTCGGAAGAGGCTGGGGCATAACATAGGGGTCTTAATAACTAGAGTAGGCTTCCCTTTAAAGGGCTCCTCATAAGGGTTACTATACGGGATCTATAAAGGTACTATAATATGTACACTACCCCTCAGCCTGTAATCGCAGATAGCCATGAACATGGACCAGAAAGTTCCTCAAAATAGGTTCCGCTTCAGTTGTCAGTGTCATGAGTCATGCCCGTCTGTTTGCGAGCTATGTCGCGGTCAAACCTAGCAAATCAGAAGCAACACCCAGAAGCCTTCAACTCTCAACCCTCGTTCTTAAACCCTCAAATCCTCAACCCGAACTCCAAAAAGCAGTATCTGCCTTGAGTCGCCTGGGCCAACAGAACTCCGATAGCTTGAGCTTTTTAGTAGTTACTGCACCTAGCGATCCATAGAGCCCACGTTCACGAACCAAAGCAGCACTGGTAGCCGTTATAGTAACAGTAGCAAGCATACTGATAGTGAGGATTGCTAAATTCGCAAAAGTCAAAATGCTCCGAGTCAGAAAGGCAATGATAAAAAAAACGGACCCTAATCTAGAGAACTACCCATATACTATATACCTAAAGCCTAAGCTGAGCTCCCATCTACATCTATATCTATAACTACATATACATATACATATATATATATATATTATAAGAGTATATACCTAAAACCTAAGCCCATGCAATGGTTTAGGCGGAGCTTCGAAGTGGAAGTGCCACTCACTGGCCGATGGCTGCGACCTTTTCCTCGGTTCTGGTAGAGCCTGCATGCACTTCTTTTTTTGGGCTTAGGGTTCAGGGTTTGGGGTTTTGGGGGGTTAGGGTTTAGGGTTTAGGGTTTTGGGTTTTGGGTTTTGGGGGTTTGGGTTTCGGATTTTGGGTTTTGGGGGTTAGGGTTTTGGGGTTTAGGGTTTGGGGGTTGGGGTTTAGGGAGTGCCCTTTTTTGCTAGTTGGAGGGTTTAGGGTTTGGTGTTGGGCTTTGCACGGGGCTTTCGATGAAAAAGTGAGTTTATGCCATGGCTTCCTACAGGGCCCGTTTTCCAGAAGAAAGGCGCTTATTGCCTGTTTTGGGCATCCGACCTGCGAGATCCGATTCCCAGTCCCATGCAAGATCTTGATTTAGAACTCCGGGTTCTAAGACTCTATATCCTCAAATGTTTTGGACACAAATGGTTAGGCTTCGTACTGCCAATCAAAAGAAGAACCTGGCGGATCAGATTCATGAATTCAGTCCTGAATCACGGCATACGGTGGTTCAAGGCTAAAGCCCTGAGGCCCGCGAAACAGCACAACGCACATTGACATGCCTACGAAGTCCCTTCTAAAGGAAGCTCCTGCGAACACCTCAAAACAATAATCTTTCTCCCCTAACCCCTGACCCCTTAACTTTCGATAACTCTACTCCACTCTACCCCGGACCCTACTCTAAAATTTGAGACCCCTGTACACACCCCGTATTTCTGTAACTCTCACCAGAAATCATATTAGTAATATGGGTATGATATGGATATAATAAACCCTAAACCGTAAATCCCTAAACCCTAATGTTATGGGTATATTATGGATATGATATAGAAACCGTAGTATTTAATTTGTAATCACTCACGCTTATGGGTATCACCTGGGTATAATAAACCCCAAACCCTAAACCCTAAATAATGTGGAAACCGTAGTATTTACTATGTTAACCCATTGAAGGCCGGCGCCTCCAGAAAACAGATCTCCTCTTGGTCTCTTGCAGCGAGGTGCTGACTCTACCTGTCAGGGTTTCGGCAAAGGGTTAAGGGGTTTCGGGTCTAGAGTTTACGGGCTTGGGGCTTAGGGTTTAGGAGGGCTTCGGTGGTTCACTCGCGTCACCGCTTCTGCTTCAAGGACCTCCCAAGGGCCTACTACGTCGATGGAGCCTATCATGTCTAGTTTCCCAATAGCCCCTTAACAAACAGGGTACCTTTTCTCCTACTACATGATATAGTACCCCGAAATTGTAGGATCCTTATTAGAAGGACCCCAAAATAAGGTACCCCTAAACAAGGGAACCCACAAAAAAACTTCAGGAGATCGGCGAGTTTTCAAAAACCGCGAAGCGTTTCAAGCACTGCCCCCCAAAAGACCCAGAACCGGAAACTACGGTGCCAAGGCTTCAAGGAAGCAAACCTACAACCACGCCTCAACAAACCCGTCACACTTTTGTCTTGCGAGCCCAATCCGATAAACTCCCTTTCCCCCCCCCCCCTCTCCGCACCCCACGCTCACACCGGCAGGGGGCCTAGCGTTTGCTGCAGGTCGACCTGCTGTAGGGCATCAGTACGGAGAATGCTCTTGCTTTGGGGTCCCTAGTCTCCCGTGTATTTTCGAGGGCAAAGAGTACAGTGTGGGCCTTTTCAGCGTCGACAATCAGAACCCCAGAGCCCGCCAGTTGTTGGAAAAGGTGTCGGAGCGAGGGCCGGGGGTTGATGCAACCACGGCTTAGGGTTTAGGATTTAGGGTTTAGGACTTAGGGTTGGGGGTTTAGGGTTTAGGGTTTGGTGGTCACAAGATGCCGAGAACAGCCATGATTGCCCACATGGCACTCCCAACAAAACAGTTGGGCGAAGTAAAGCCCGGCACAAGAGCCCTTACGCAACTCCTCAAATACACAAACACCGGCAAGAACACACATACACACACAGAAAAACCTGCAGAAAACCTTTTTCAGCCTCTTGGCCGAGCTCCACCTCCCGGACGTCTCGCTCCACCTCCTGCACGGCTGCCTGCGAGCTGCGCGCGCGATTGAACGAAGTCGAGATCTTTAAGGTGCATTTATAGGGCGTTTAGGGTTTAGGGTGTTGAGGGCTTAAGGCTGTTTTAAAGTGTGATTATAGGGTCCATTTAGGGTGTTTAGGGTGTGAAGGGCTTAGTATTCAGGATTGAGGGTGCGGGGGCTTTGCGTTACGTCTACCACACGTCGACGACGACTAGTACTACCTGCTAAACTCTAAAGCGCCGTGCTGTTATTGTTCTTACTATATTCCTACTATCACCACTACTGCTTCCATGGTTATGACTACTATTACTAGAAGTATTATTCTCATTCTGAAATTCTTATTCTGGTTGCTGTTACTGTTACAATATCACATCTGCTGAACAGAGTACAGGGCCCTGAATAAAGATAATAGAGTTTTGGGGCCCGTTATACTATAAGTACAATAACCCCCAAAATAGCATTGGCATAGGTAATTGTTTAAGCCGCTATAGCAGTAGGCCGAAGGCCTCCAAGGATCCCTGCATTGTCGTCAGGGCCATGGACATCTGCATGTGCTCGCCTCGCGGATTCGGGCTCGGAGCATTTAGGGCTTCGGACCTAGCTTAAGGGTTCCTTTCAAGGTTGTCCTTAAAAGGGCTACGAAAGGCTTGCTATTCAAAGGCAGACCCAATGTCCTTTCTTGAGGGCTCCTTAAAAGGGTTCCATAACGGTTGCTGCAAGGGCTCTTTATTAGTGGAAGCAGTTTCTTTTCTTAAGGGTTCCTTCAAAGGGTTGTTACAAGGGCTACCGAAGGGCCTCTATAGAATTTGGTGCAGGGCCTTATACGGTTTGGGGGGGATCTTGTGATATAGTCATATGGAGGAACCCGAAAGAATCAGATAGGAACGTTTTGAACTTCAGAAGGACGTTTGGAAGCTTTGGGTTGAATGGTTATAAAGGGCTCAATTAAAAGGCTGAGGACTGAGACACAGGGGTTGGTGAGATGTCGGGGATTAAAGTTTGGGGCTCAGCGCTTCTGGGCAGGCTGAAAGTGTTCGGGCCAAGGCAGTTCCGATTTGACTGCTTCCTAGACCCCCGACAGGATCTAGGAAGTAGATAACCTGATTTGGGGCCCTATACGACTAAGGGTACTTTATAGGAACCCCCATTAAGGGGCAAGGAGAGACAATAGGAACAGACAGTGGGACAATTGTAAGGACGGTACAACAGACGCCAGGTGGGGCTCTAAACCAAATTGAATTTACCAAGAAGCAAGACCCCAGAACCATACCAAACCCCCACAGTATTTGCCTTAAAGTTGGAAACCCAAAGCCCTCACATTAGAAGAACAGCATGAGTGCTCACACCATATTGCTAAAGATGCCGAGGCATCAAAGGTCGTATGACACTTCGAGACGGGCTTGAAAGGGTGTATGTATAAACATGTTTGGCATCACATACCTCGGTTCCCAGCAGGTTTGGCCCAAGACTCCTCAGAGTGAGGGCTAAGGCCTTCAATCCTAACCGCATAGGTTTCGGCGAAATCTAAGTCATTTTAGAATCCTATGTCATATGCCCGTGTCTGATGAACACCCATTGTCCCTTCTAAGCAGACTGCGGCTCCCAATGCTCAAAACCCTGGCATCCCGAAGCACTGCATCTGGGTTCTTGTTCAGAAATCTGATTCACGTTGGCATAAGCAAGGAAACCATCCTATCTACGATAGCTCAAGATGAATGTTACAGAGTGCCACCAGCTCGGCCCACTTCCGGCGAAGCACTACCTGCTTCGGCGTAATAGGATGTGCGCAGAAAATCGTACAGCCAGCTGCTGGGAGAAACCTGCTTCGAGACCAGGCATCCTGCAAAATGGCTGTCCGGATTGTAACCCACACCGGACAGAATCTCCTCTTTCTCGTACCACGAGGCACGGTCCACGCACGCAATGTCTTTAAAGTATCCGTCACAGGCAGAAGTGTTGGTGCAGCAAGGAGAAGTCATAAAGACTATCTCGCCCCCTACCAGAGCCGCCCGGTCGGTGTGACTGGCCATGGCTGCTAGTCTGACAGCCAATATGTTTGGCGGCATGTGTCTATTTGCAGCAGACACAGCACAGTAATCATGCTTCTTTCACTTTCTCACAGCAAGCATGACACGGCCGGGCCGAAGCAACAAAACGTAAGCATGCCGAGGTGCATTTGCTTCTCCGGGTTTCTTTTCCCAGCTTCTCTGGCTTGTTTGGATCTTCGGGCTTCGGGTCTCATAGGTTTCGGCCAGAGACAGTCTCCAGGAAAAATATGTACGTTGACCAAATCATCATCCCAGCCAGTGACCTCCCGAACCCAGCGGTTCACGTGGAAGGCCGCCACATCCGCCGGGTCCCAGGCCACCGCTCAATGGATGACCCTTCAGCTCAATGTTTCTTGCATTGAAAGCAAGGCTTTAGACCGGAATCACCTTTGCCTCAAGTCTTCCCGGTCTGCCATTCTTCCTGCGAAGGGGTCAGGCCCTTTTGCACCCAGCAAAATCCGTCGAGTAGCTCCTGCCAAAAGCAAAAACTCAACAGAACCCGCAAAGAACTCATAGAACCCTCATAGAACGTATATGACCCCTAGAGAACACACAGAAACCAACTCTTGCGGTAACCCTCACAACGTCAAAGCTTAAACCCTAAACTAAACCCTACACCCTGAACCCTGAATCCATCTAAATCCTAAACTCCCCTAAGCCCTTCATTTTCCCTAAACCCTTTTACCTCTTTGCGAGGGTCCTTGTAATAAGGATCCTACTATTCAGGGTACTATGTTAGGTTCCCCTAAGTTTCGGAAAGCTCCCAAACCCTCATAAAGCCCTCTAAAGGAACCCCAATAGTACCCTTACAGTAACCCTTTAAGGGAGCCCTTCTAGTACACTATTGTCGGAAAGCTCCCTTTGAAACTCAGAGACGTCAAGGCCTGTGGCCAGCTTCAGCTTTTCAGCCAACCTGCGTGAAATCATAAGGGTACTACCAGGATACTATAGGGATACTATATAAGGGTACTATAGGGGCAATAGAGTCTGTAAGGGTACTGTAAGGGGCTTAGTAGGGAGTGGGGGGAATGGATCCCTTAGAAGCTGCCCCCACCCTGTAATAGTGACTGTAAGGATTATATTAGGGCCCTATTATATTCCTATTATACCACAATTACAGGGTGGGGGGGGGGGGGATCCCTATGGTAGTCCGGGGTGGGTGGGGGTCTTTGGACTTTAGGCCCGAGGATCGGGCTCCCTTAAAGGAGGGTTTTTGAAGGGTTTGGGGGGTTTGGTTGCAGGGTTTAGGGCTCTTAAAGGGTTTAGGGTTTAGGGCTCACTATCTGGGTTCGATGATGTAGGGGGGGCTTCATGTTTAGAGGCTGGCTTTCGGGGTGTAGTACATTTTCATTTCATGAGGACGATAAGGGGACGCTTATGTTCGCAGTCGGGAGATTGTTGCGGGCTTCGCTTTGCTTCGAAACTTTCTAGGCTGTAGGTTTTGGGGAGGTTCGTAAGTGTACTGGGCTCTTGAAGTGCAGAGAGTCTGCATGGAGAGGGTTGTTAAGATTTTAGGTAATTGGTTTCGCAGCTATAGGGCTTTGAAGCCGAGAGCCCGAATGCAGCCTCGCAAATTGAACTTGGAGAGGCTGGGTGAGCTGAAAAAAGCATGCACGGCCCTCCAATGCGGGGGCATTACTACTAGCCTAGGGTTCGGGGGTATAATTCTTCAGGGGCTGCCAGAGGATATCATGATGGACTATTCCGACTTCAGTACGTTTGCAAGGCAGCCCTTTTGCAGTGCTGCTTCCGTGGTGGCGGTCTTAAAGCCAAAAATACACGAGGGAACCCGAAGGATTTCGAGCACCTAACGGCAGGAGTCAGTCAACGTACGATACCGAACCTCAAATTCCCCATGCCCCAAAGCTCATCCCTGTCGCATTGTAACAGCACCCATCACCTAAATCGGCAGCCAAATCCCCCACCCTTTAGGGTTTAGGTTTAGGATCTAGGTTAGGAGGTGTAGGGTTTGAATTACATAACCGAATTCGACAATTACCTGACCCTCCACTCAGGCATCTTGAAACTTGTAGCTATTTTGTGCAAATGACTCTGGCTCCCTACACCTGAAACTGCAAGCCCTCGTTGCTGCCAGATGGCTGCGCGGCCAGCGCCCGGAGTGCTTTGATCATCTCCTTGCCGGCCACACCAAGCCCCGGACCCCTGAAAGGATCTGGAAGACGGCGCCGCTCACAAAAAAACAGCTTACACGCTTTTGATCGTTTCAAACGTCTTGAAAAACGCTGCGCAAACAGGGAGGATGGGGTAGCATGGGAAGGTCCCCAAAACACCATGCGAAGGATCTGAAGACAGTTTTGGCTCCGGAAGGGTTCGGGTCAAAGTGGCTAAAGGCGACTTGCTTAGCCAGAAAGAGCAAGGCTGCAGAAGTGGCAAGCTGTGCACGACTGAAGTACTGTATGAGTTACACTATTATTGTTATATTATAGTACATAAGGGCAGATACTAACCCCTAAGCTGCAGATGCTGTGGGATCTTTCCGGAAGTGGAGGCTGCACCTTGGGAAGGAACGCAAATTCCTGGGAGTCTTAAGCACGGGTCGACATACCTACTTGGCCAGGGCTTGGTTTGAAGGCTTTCACCAGGTTTATATATAAGGTTTTTATGAGGGTTCCTGCGGCTTGTACCTACCACAGCCTCCAAGCCAGCAGGCAGTCCCGCGAATATGAGGCGTGGGCTTACGAGCCTTACAATGCATTCGGCGTCCTCACAGCACAGGACCCGAGTGACTGTTGGAAACAGACAAGATTTTCGCCAGAACCCCGAAACCTAGAACAAAAGCGAAAACCGAAACACCACACATGGAAACAGCGCACGTCTTTCTAGAATGCTCAAGACAACATCCAAACAGTGTACTACCGAACATCCCGCAGTCCACCAACAAGGCAATATGGCCCAATAATATGGCGAGCTAATCATTGCAATAAGGATTTGGGGTACATGATGGTATAGCTATGGAGAGGCCATAAGTGGAGATCCATAGCATAATCATTTCGACCTTTACATGAACTGGGCTCGTAGAAGCAACGTGATACGCCGAACAGAACAAAACAAAACAAAGCCTTCAAACCCCCTAAAAACCCTAAGCCCCCAAACCCCAAAACCCCCTAAAACCACCCAAAGCCAAACACCCCTAAGGCCCCCCAAACATCCCTAAAACCCCCCCCAAACACCCTAAAGCCGCCGAAACCCCGTAAAGCCCCCAAACCCCTAAAACCCCCAAAAGCCCCCAAAAGCCCCCAAAAGCCCCGAAACCCCCTAAAGCCCCGAAACCCCAGTTGCGGCTGGGCCTTCGACGCTTCGGCCTCCCGCCTCCCAGACATGCATGATTTTTGTGCGCATAAAAACCATGCGGTTCATCTAGGGCTTAGGGTTTATGATTGAAGGGGTCTAGGGGGGTTTAGGGTTTAGGATTTTGGGTTTAGGATTTAAGGGGTTTAGGGTTTAGAGTTTAGGATTTAGGGTTTAGGGTTTAGAGTTCAGGGTTTAGGATTTAGGGCCTCATGGCTAGAATAGGGTTCCTTTGCAGTCTCTTGGGTACTGGGCCAGAAAAGGGATACTATAAGGGCTTGGTAAAAGGGCCTTAATGAATAGGGCCGCCGTGTTGGGCACTTTCCGAAAAGTTGGTTAGTATAGGGGTACCAGTAGTGGACTGCGCGGCCTTTATTTAGGTGGTTGTCAATGTTAGGGTCCCTTTTTGGGGTCCTTATGATAGTACGGCACCTGCTATTTAGGGTACCCAAAAAGAGACCATAATTCCGACAACCACCCGTTTGGGTTGTGGGGTTTTGCAGCGCTATTACTCACTCATGTAATCGGCGACTTATGGATGCGTCTTCAGATGCAGCTGTTCCGGTGCTTCAAGCTACGGGATAGTAATTCGAGTAGCGCCTTGGGTATGTTATAGTAGGGTTATAATCATGAAGCCTACGGAATTCATTCGGACTTCTACATAATAGGGCTTGCATTCCGGGACTCCTTTTCATTGCGGGCTCGGGGCTTCTGAGGAAGGCTCTGGCCCCTTAATGGGGTACCCTAAGCCCTAAGGCCCTAAGCCTTGTAGTAGAGTTTCGGGGCCTCTGAACCCCAGGCCTTTGACTGTGGCTTTCTGTGGGATGTCTCTAGAGGTCCTGGCCCGGGGCAGTGGGGAAGACTAGCCCAACATGAATTCATAGAATGATATGATATAACAGAATAGAATAGAACAGAGTAGAGCAGAGGAGAGTCCAGCAGAGTGATTACAGCGGAGTAGAGCAGAATAGAGTAGACTATACTCAACCAGAGCAGAAGAGACGAGAAGAGAGGAGAATAGGCTCTATATATATGTATATATATATATATATATATGTATATATGTACAGTATGCTACAACATAATATAGTATCGCATAAAACTATATTGAAGGGACCTCAGGACCTTGACAAAAAGTACAGCTACAGTTAATATGCACACGTTACTTGGATGGAGTACCGGCCCCCCCCGCGAAATGCCGCCCCGTGTTGGCGTTCATGGACGGTTGAGTTGACCATGGCCACGCACAGGGGTACGGATGCAGCGAGACCCTGTGGTGTGTTTCAGCCTACAGTGGCGCCGTGAACATCAAAGATGACGGGTTTAGGGTTCAGGATTTTTCAGGCTAGTTGTAGTACTATTAGTATTAGCAGTGCTTGTAGTACCAGTAGTACTTGTAGTACTGGAAATAATAAGGTTTTAGGTTCAAGCCCACCCCCTTCACCTCCCATCACCCGTCCCCAGCTTGTTCTGAAAAACATGAGTAAGTCAAAGGATGCATAATTCATGTAAGGAGTTGTGTTCCACGGCTGCGGAACATACCTTAAACGCTCAAGGGGTTTAGGGCTTTAGAGGTCTATATGTAGGGGCCGTAATAATCAGAATAGGGTTCTGGTGCCCATTCTACTATACATTAATCATATTATGAGGAACCCCCCAAAATAGTATAGGCAATTATCAAGGCCTCTATATTAGAGGCTTGGGCTTTGGGGACTGTTGCGTCGAACCCGGCCTGTACTTGCAGTTTACGCCGTCGCAGCTGTGGATCATTGGTTCCCCTGTGACCAAGTCATTGTGCACGAGGGGTTCCTGCAACGATGTTTTGGGGTGGCTCCAGGGTTTGCAGGTGGCTTGTTAAAACCTGGCGGTGCCTTGCTTTCAGGGATGTCTTTACGGTTTAAGCGAGCCGAGGTGGCCTTGTTTCTCGCGCCGGTACGAAAGGATCCGATCGACCAGGGTCGAGATTTGGAAATTGGAACACTTCCAGACCGAAGTCCTCATGAGCAAAAGTTGTAGACACTATGAATAGGAAGCAGAACCTCACCTACCGTGCGTGAATCCGTTGACTTCCTGCAGAACCGATGGAAATCCTACCAAGAATTAACAAACCCGTCTCAACGCCTACTAAGAAGCCATAACCCCCCTCTTGGAACAATGATTGCCTAAAACCCACAAAACCCTCCCCGAAAGCCCTTAAGGCCAAAAGCCCGTCCACACCAAACCCCAAACCCCAAACCCAACCCCCAATTGAAACCCACCCAAACCCACCCTAATCCCGAAAACCCAAAGAAAACTTCGCAAAAGAAACGAAAGGCCCAAAAGCCCCAAACCCTGCACCATAGACCCTCAGTTGTCTGGTTCTTAGTAAGGAATCGGGGAATGGATCCATAGGACAGTGCCTTAAGGTCCCCTGTAGTAGCCCCAATAAGCCATTCCCCCATTCCCTTCTAAGAACCAGACAGAAAGGGAGTTTCCGAATGTAGGGGACCCTAACAAAGTACCCTAAATGGTAGGATCCTTATTATGAGGACACCAAAATAAGGTACCCCTAATTATTGGAAACTCCGATATGAACCTAAACCCCTAGACCCCAAACCCCTAAACCCTAAACCCCTAATTATCGGAAACTCCCTTTAAAAGGGAAGGCGGCTTCGGAACTCTCTGGCCAGGCCTCGCCCAAGTCCAGTGGAAGCGATCCCGTCCTCGAGAGCTCCTGAGCTGCTTCCTTTCTCTTCGCATTAAGAAACAGGGGTCTTAATAGCTATGTTTTGGTAGGTTATGTAGTATGATAAAAGGGACCCCAAAAAGGGACCATAATTTTGACAACCACCCATATAGGGGTCTGAATAAATCAGAAAAGGGTGTGTGGGTCTTTGTAGAATCTATTTGTATCAAGGAACCCCCAAAACAGTATAGGTAAGATATGTTCAAGGTATGCGAACCCGGCTAGTATGCAAGGATATCAAAAGCATAGCACGGCGGAAAAGTGTGGCTTCAAAAGCATGGGGCAGGATAATCCCGAAGTAGAAGGATCGCACGCGGAAAATACACATTTTTCTGCAGACCTCCTCATGTAAACAGACCACAAAAAACACCCACAGGTGAACTGTGACTCTGATGTCTTCGACCATGTCATGGTAAGTGTCCTCGACGCGCTGCGAGAGCAAGCGTGCTTCGGCTTGGAGTTTACTCTGCTTCAGGTCGTCCAGCTCTTTCCTGCTTTGAGGTTCTGCCAGTGGCGGAGCTTTAGGGAGTACGGCGGATGATCAGGTTCTATGCCACTTATTCGGTTAGAATCGGGCTCAAGAGCCTGGGGCTTTCTTTGTGGGCGCGCGGGGTTTACGGTTTTTTTGTTTCAGCCCGTGGCGCGGCCGCGGCCTAGGGCGTTTCGCTGGGGGGGGGATGGTTTTCGGGCTCACGGTGTAGGGTTGAGGTGCCAGACGGTGTTGAATGACTCTAGGCCTCTAGGCTTCATTTTGAGAAAGTTTTACGATCCTTAAAGGATCATGGGACTTAGAAACTAGGGTTATAACTAAGGCACTAAGGTAACTGTACTTATAATTGCTTATAACCCCAATTAAGGTACTTATAACCCTACTTACAAAGTCCCATGATCCTCCAAGTAGGTCAGGTTCTAACCAGCACAGATGGAAAGCATCGGGGCTGTAACATGCGTCAGCTCCTCCTGGTATAACGCAGGGTCCACGACGATCAGAACAGGGTGTTGGAGTATAAGAGACGAACTTACTATTCCTTGTTCCTGCTGTTTGTTTGTAAAGAAGGAACCCCCAACAAGTGCGAAAGGGTACTACTTAGGGAAGGGTTAGCGGTTTCGGGCTTCTGGTGCAAAACTCCGGTGTCAGCGCGCAGGGAGCTAGAGCCCGACATCTACGCACCAAAGATCGAAATTACAAGACCCTACCCTGCCATCAACCCCCGAAGCCTGCCGTCACTCACCACCCCTTGAACTTCAAACCGCTCTGAGGAAGAAACCATCCCCAACACCCCAAAACGTCCCTTGTGGAACACCTATCACCCCGTTCCCCCTCCTCCCCAAAACCGAAACCCCCAAAACCTGATCCTGAACCTGCCCTGAACCCACCTCAGCCGAAGGGTTTCCACCCTCTGCTTCTGGACCTCGGGCTCGGGCGGCAAGTCCTCCGATGGCTTAAAGCGGAACGTTATAGGGGTCAGAGTTTCAAGGACTTAAGGCAGGGCTGAGCCCAAGGGTCCATGTGCTTTTATACACTTGGGAGGCCGGGGGGTTTAAGTTTAGGGCTTACAGGGAACTCCAGAAAGTTGGAATATGGTTTCATGGTAGGATACCCTATAATTTACCACAGAAGGGTTAGGATAATCATATTCCAACTTTCTGGCTTCTACTGTAAGGGTTTACCATGGTTTACCAATGACATAATCTTGGAGACTCAGTCTCCTCACACGGTGAAATCAAAGGTCCGACTAAGGTTTTCGGATCTCTTCTTGTAGAACTTGGGGTTCAGGGACTTCGAGTACTGAACTCAGGATCTTAGTGAGGCAGAATCCTCAGCCTCAGCGGGTGGCCTTGGCCTACTGCAGGGGCCTGAATAAATGGAATTTGGGAGTTTCCGAAAATAGGGGAGCCTACTATAGTACCCTACATATGAGGATCCTTATTATAAGGACCCCAAAATATAGTACGCCTAGTTCTCGGAAACTCCCAGTTGGTTCATGGCAAAGTCAAATTGAGGAACCCTACTGTTGGGAATCAGTTGGCTGGGTCTTCCGACCCCTTTATTGTCATATCCTTGCTAGTAAACCTCAATCGTACGACCCTATCAAACGCTTAGCCCGAAACCCCTAACCCCTAAAAACCCTAGCTGCATCAATCATGAAACCCTGCAAACACCGTTGTGATCACAAATCCCTTTACTCCTAAACACGGCCTCTACCGTCACGAAGGACTTGGGCCGCAAGAGGTGTGAGATGCTCTGCGAGATCCCACTCACACCTCAAGCAATTCCAATTCCAAATCTTCTTAGGGGGTTCCAAGGACTTCGGGTGTTGGAGCCCTTAGGGTTTTGGTGTGTTTTAGGTTGGGGGGGCTAGGGTGTTTTGAGAATTCTGAATTTAGTTTATGGCTTTCTTCTTGGGGTATAGGTGGTTCATGGTGTTTGCAGACTCCTCGTGCCAAAAGGAGCTTCGAGAAGACCAGAGGGTCTAAAGAGCGGGGATAGCGAGGGCTTCAATATTTGTTGTATTACTATATATTATCATATTGTTATATTCTTATATTATAAATTGTATTATTGTCATATTATACTATATTATTGTAAGAGGCCTTCTGAGGAATGCACAAGGCTTTTCAGAAATCCATGAAGACGTCTGAATCATTAGACTATCCTGGTTTGATATAAAACATAATGAATGCTTAAGTGGGAATTCTAAAGCCTCGATCCCCGAAACCCTAACTCTTCCGGCCCCCCTCGAGGCCCTAGACACCAAAAAGAGCCCAAGGCAAGGGCTCTCTGTGCGAAAGGCCTCCGCCAGGGCTTTTTGTCGGTTCACATCCGGGTTTGTGGATGGGTTTAAGGGTTCGTTCTGGAGGCAGATTCTGATCATACCGAGTTCCGAGCAAACGGCATAAAAACCCTGCCGAAGTTTCCAAAGCCATCCACGGGAACTCGAGTAGATCGCTACACTTCCACACCAGAACTCCATGAGGAACAGATCAGGCCCATGTGGATCTCCCGTTCCTTCGAATACTGGTCTTCCAGGAAAAGGGGGATCTGTGCGGCATCATGGTTCAGGTGTTGTATGGGGTCCTGCTACGCTTGCAGGAACCCGGAAATCTCGAAGACAGAGCCACAGACTCTGAACAACAACTGAAACCTGCATCTGGCCCTGCATCCGGTATCAAAGGAAGCAGTGTCCATGATTCCTTCCCCATGGTCAAGGCATCATTGCAGTGATTTATGGTCCAAACATCGTTGCAGTGGACACGGTACATAGACAACGAAGTTTCGAAACTGTCTCCTCGCCTCCTCTATGGTCAATCGCACCTGGCATCCAATCCGAGAGTACTTATATTGATGCCGTGAAGCCGCATTCGAAGATTCGAAGCCTCAACCCTTCGGATACCCAAAAAACCCCAAAGTCGACAAGCGCCTCAACCCCGCGGCTCTCACCAAGCTCACGAGTTGTTTCGCCAAGCGCCTGACACAGAGGTCACAGGTTCCGGCTGAAACGCATCGGCTAGGCAGACAAGTCTGCGGGGCCGCTGCGAAGAGTTATCCGAAAACGTCGTAAACCGAAGCTCATACCGTTCAAGCGTACTGAACCCAAGCCCCGGCGAGCCCCAAGCTCCTCAAACCCAACACTTACAGTCCCTGTGCCCACCGAGGACTTTAGGATCCAGGTTCCTAAACTCGCAACAAGTTGCTTCAACTCTGAACCCCAATGGCCCAAAGCCATCGCGAGAATCTGAAGAAATGTTGATAGTCCTGAAGCACTAGGTCTAGGTGCCCTGCAGCCTTAAATCCCAAAGACCCGAAAGCCCTGGAATCAGAACTCCCTAACCCCACGGCCCAGACTCCGACATGTAGTGACTAGAACACCTGGGCAAAGAACAACTGCCGCTGTGGTCCCTTGAAAGCTACCAGACTATGATATACGACAACACTTTATTCAAAAGTCTAAATTTTATCTAAACCCCCCACCTCGACTCATATACAGCCTTATACGCCCGCTGCAAAAGCCGTATGCTAATTACAGCTTCAGCCCCGATGCAAACCCCCTTAGCCTAGATCCGAGGCCTGCTCCAGTTCGTGTATCTGCGAGTTCAGGCCAACGATCCTTGCTCGAAGCCATTCGACCACTGAGGTCCGAGCACAAGAAAACCATGAAGAACCTTCAAACAAAAACCTAAAGCCTAAACTTTCGAAACCCCAAGCCCCTAAATTCCTAGTCTCCCTAAATCCCAGCAGGGCCCGAGCCCGAGCATTTTGGGCCCCTGGGACTTCCTACCTGGGCACCGTACCGGGTCCTAAGGGATACTGCGCGGCTCTGTGAGTCTTTGGGCGCAAAAAAGGGGGGGGTTTTGGGACCATGCCGTCTACTGGGGGGGGGGGGGGGTTAGGGTTTAGGGCTTATATAAGGTTTAGGGCCTGAAAATGTGGGAAGAAGGTTAGACTACCCTCCATCGTAGCAAGGCTACGTGGCTCCTGATCGCGAAAGTTGTGACAGGAGAGGAGGATACTACCATCACATTCACCGGAGCGAACCCCAGAGAAACCTCAGAAGCAGCAAGTGCGCTCGAAAAGGGAAAATCAGTTTGGCCAAAGGATCTGCGCGGCAGTGGTCTGAGAGCTTGCCGAGACGGGCGGCGCGCCTGCCGAGTTCGCCGCTTGTGGGAGGAGTTTCGGGGTGCACCGTGTGGGCACCCTTGCGATTAGCGCAAGGTGTTAACACTGCTACGAGTCGAAAGCATGACACATGTCCTTGTTAACCAATCAGGAGACATGAAGGAACTACGTCACTACCTTATTAGAACTCGTGCAGGCTCCAAGAGTAGAGCTGGTACGCAAAGCAACATGAAGAAATTTACACAACAGTGGAAAATCCTAAAGCTACCATATGCCTCCCGAGCAAAGAGCTTGCTTTGTATCCGCAAACCGTTATGCGTGGGCGGCTTCTTGGGATTGATGTAGGGGCCTTAATAGTTAGAATAGGGTCTGGGGGGTATGTTAGACTATACAAGTAATTAGAATGAAGGCCCTTACATTGTTGTGCAGTACTTTGCCAGCAAGGTAACGGCTTCTTTCAGCTTCGTGGCTTTCACAACACAACCAATAGCCTATTTTTATAACACAGTACCAGCTCCGAAGATTTTCCCCTCCCTGACGATGTGTGATGTGCCGCCCTTAGCCGGGTGAAGCAAGACATGTACCAGGCTACTTTGCAGATCACACTTCACAAATATAGGGGCCTTAATGATTAGAATAGGATTTTGCGGGCCATTATACTATAGTTATAATAAGAAACCCCCAAATAGTACATTCATTCATTCCGGCGGTGCAAAGTCCTGTCGAGAACGTACCGCTAGCAAAGACTGAATTCAAAACCCCCAAAATAGTATAGGTAATTACTTAGGCCCCTATACTACAGTATTGCCCACCGGCCGGCGGCTCGAAGCTAACACACGCCCATGCAACACCTCTAGTTCATGGATAGGATTAAAATTTTAGACTTCTATTCCTTATTGGGTTTAAGTACCCATAAAAATGTAAAATGTTACCCAACTATGACAAAGACCTTTTGCCAGCGACGACACCGCAAGCTCTGAGCGCCGAGTCTACTTGCTGTTGCCAGGTCCTGGGGGGTCTGGAGTCTACAGAAGCTGCCTGGGAACCCATGCAAAGATCCCCGAAAGCATAAGCCAGGAAGCCCAGGAGCCTCGATGACCAGAGCAAAGCTCTGGGGTGTTGTCTCCTAGATACTGTGCCCTCAACTGCATTACAAGATATTGCCCGAGTTACTCGAACTTGCATACCCAGCCTCCTTCCCACTTGCCCCCACACTTCCGGCAGAAGTGCGCGTCTTGCATCAGCACGTTCCCACACTGGCAGACGCGGACCTTCCCAGCTTTCATTTATTGGATCACCCACCGTAGCACATAACCCGGACCTAAAGTTGGGGTTATGCTGGGGCCCCTCCCATGTCGAAGGCGCTTGAAGACGCAAATGCACCCTGCCTCGACATTCGAACCGCCTGAAACCCTCAACTCGCATGAACTATCGAACCGTGCGAAACAACAGCCTTGACAAGTTTTCACAGCTCAAAACGGCCCAAAGCCCAAACACCTGGAGGCCAAAACCCCAACCACTCCAAGCGTTTTTTAATCGCACACACTCGAAACGCCGTTTACAACCTGAGCTCGGAGCCGTCGAAACTCTCCTTTTACCAAAGCATGGGTTCCGTGAGGCTTGGCATAGCCAGCCTTCTGCCATTCAGTGATGTCGCTAAGTAGCCATTAACCAAATATTGGCTTGCAGCCCGGAGTGAACAGTTTACACGCAGCCTTCGGTTTAGGGTTTCAATCGGGTTTTAGGATTGTGTCGCACTGCGCAATGCAGTCTGCGACAAAGTGCAACGCCTTTGGCTTGGCGTGCAGAGAGGGTGGGACTGGCAGGGACAGGAGTAGGGGGACACGGACAAGCGGCCTACACAGTATTGAGCTCACAAAATAGAAAAAACTTTTCGTGTCCCGGGCAGGCCGGGGACTGCATTTGCACTGGCATGTCGGAGCTCACCCGGGAAGGAGCACTTCTCGGGCTGTAGCGCCAAGGGCCCAGTGCAAACGCAAAGGCAGAGAAGAGAAGAGAGATGAGAGCCAAGACATTGGGCCTTGAACTGGTTTAGGGTCGTTTAAAGGAGCTGTAAGGGTTCCGAAAAAGGGAGCAAAAAGGGTACTTGTCATAGGGTTTAAGGTTCCCGCGCAAACGTACCCGAACTTCAAACCGACCATGAATAGGGGCCTTCTCGACCAAGCTTGGCGAGCAACCGAGGTTTTGAGCCTGCTGAGACAACTCCTCCGCGGATTCCTGGGTCATGGCCGCTTAAAGAGGTTCTGGGCTTTCCGATCTGAAGTTCTTGTAGGGTTTAGAGAGCCTTTAGGGTGTTCGGCGTGCTCCAGGCTTGCTTCATTTCTCTGTGGTTTTATAATTTTTAGCGGTTGGGACGACAGGACTTCCTTTGGGGTTTGTTCAGGAGCTCACCATGTTTTTGTTGAAGGTGTTGGTGCCTTTTCTCAGGCTTCAGGGATTTCTCGGACTCACAGTCTCTTGGGTGCTTCACTGGAGCGAGGATTGGGTTGGGGCTTCTTTTGCGATTTTTCGGGCTTACAGAGTCTGGGGCTTGGGTTCTAGAGCCTCCTTAGGGTATCGACTGGGGGTCGTGAGATTTGCAGGGTCTACGACACAGGACTCGGGGTGAAGAATTCATGCAGCCGGCTGCGTGCGATTGTTAAATGAGGTCTGTATAAGCCGTGCACATAGACAGACACTTGTAACCTTGTATTTCTTGGGGGGAATCCTTCGCAACATATCCATCCTCCGTGAAACCTTTAGGCTTGAAGCATGTTGAAACCCTGCCCCAAGGGTCGTTTTACCTTTAAGCCTTGGAGACGTCATAGGCAGTTTGGAACTTTCGGGTGAACGTTCGTACTACATAGGCACTTGGACCCTTTCGACCCACTTAAGGCTAGACACATGGTGCACAAAAGGCCGTGATGAGCAGCCACCGTAACTCCTGACAATATCAAAACTGCCACTCCAATTCATTAATGATAATACCACTGCCGAGGAATAAACTATGCAGCCCCAAATCTTAAACTCCGGCCTCCAATTGCTGTGCAGGGAGAGTCGAGAGCTGCGCAGCGTGTGCACGGAGCCTTAATAGCATCCACGGAAGCATGTAAAGCAATAGTAGCAGTAGTTGCGGTAGTAGTCGCAGTAGCAGTAGCCGTAGTAGCAGCAGTAGTAGTTACAGTAGCAGTAGCAGTAGCAGGAGGAGGAGCAGCAGTAGTAGTGATGGGCGTAGCCAAACAGCATGAACCCCCATCCTTAGACAATACAACTTTAGCCCTTACAGCGCTGATTCAAACAACGAGCGAACTGCAAAAATCCAGATGCATCAAGCAGCAGCTTCTCGAGATCTGCGCAGCGCGCTTGCAGCTGATCCTTGGGGCAATACGCAAAGGTTTAGGGGGCTTAGGGTTTAAAGTGCAGGGGCCCTCATCATGGATCGGGAGACTCAATATCTTACGTAGTAAGTAAGGATATATGTACCCTAAGAGGGACTATAAGTAGTTCTAGGTATAGATGCCGTATTTTCATCAAGGGAACCTAGACAAGAGTATAAGTGCACACAAACACAGGGAAACCGTAAATAGTACTGATAGATAACCAAAACTTAGACCTCTTACCCTAGGCATCAAAACATCCCAAGAGCCTTATATGGTATGGTCTTTGGGCCCAAAAACCGTAATAATATATGAGTCCTTAGATCCCTAGGGTTATATTCTTCTTTTGAGGGGGGTGGATCTCGCTGGGGACCAGACCTCGGCCCCTTGCAAGGTAGGGTCCCACGTGAAGGGTCTAGGGAATTAGGGGTTTAGGGAATTAGCCCAAGGGTCCAAGTACTCGCAATAATCATAACTCTCCCAAACATAACCACTATCCTAAAACCGAGTACCCGATTATTGGGTCCTGTGGACCCTTGGGGATTAGGGCTTAGGGGTAGACCTCATAGGTTGAGAGTCTGCGATGAGTGAAGGGTTTGGGCCTGGCTTGGTGCTTGGGGCCATTTCCGTTCGGTTTCTGGCCTCTTGGTTCTCTTGGGGTGTAAACCCTGCGAAATTTTAAAACCCCCTATAAACCACCCAAACCTCGAAACATTAAAAAAGCCTATGAACCTTCAACACCACCAAACCCCCGCAAGCCTAAGCCCTAAACCCTACAAACCCAAACCCCTAAACCCGAATCCCTATAAACCCTGAACTCTAAACTCTAAACCCTACCATAAACCACCCTAAAATCTTAAACCCCTAAACCCTGAAATTCAACCACTACATCCCAAGAGCCGAGCCGCCCTGGCCCGCAGCGCCGCGTCCCGCTCGCGCATGAGCTCTGACTCTCGCTCGGCCGCCCGGGTGGCCTACGGAAGTGGGAGTTGGGGGCTTGGGGGTTTTAGGGTTTAGAGGGTTTTAGGGTTTAGGGTTCAAGGTTTAGGGAGTTGGGGGGTTTGGGATTTGGGGTTTGGTCCAAGGGGCTGAAGAAGTGGGTTGCGAGCTTTTCTGGGAGTGTCTTTCTAGATTCAGATGTGTGTGTGAAGGCTTCGGAGCTTGTTCCAAGGAGGCCTCAGCAAGCTGATGGTTTCAGGACTCGAGCGATTGTGTTCTGCACAGAAAAGTCAACACGTTTTGGATCGTCTATAGGCAGCAAAATTTTAGGCTCAGGGGACTTAACCGTTACATTTGGTCCCCCAAGAATGGTGTGGAGCTTCAAGTTCAAAAGATCCCCGCCTAAGCCTAGACCTTCAAGAGAGATCAGCTTGAGAGGGGGCCCTCGAATTTTGACTCCTGAACCCTGAGTCTACCCACGATCTCCCAAGGGCAGACCACCATCGCTGAAACATCGCCGAACCCTCGAAACCTCGAAAGAAAATCCAGCAATCGTGAGGCTTCAGCATGAGCCCTGCTCATGTAAGAGAAGTCGTAGTAAATAGCATAGGGTTTCGGGTGTGCTCTACGGTACATACTTGTACTACGGGAACCGAACGAACTGTACTGGTAATACGGTCCTAATTACTTAGGCTTCTATAGCAATAGTTAAGCATAAAAACACATCCGAAAAAATGCCCAACTACTGAGTCAACAGCCCTCAGCCGAAACCTCGAAGCCCGACTCCACCACGGACGGTAGCGCCAGATCGTGCTCCTCCGCCTCCTCCTACGATAAGTTGCGTTGGTCATTACCTGCGTTACGGTACTTTTCGGGGCCGCAATAATTTACCACTACTATTTTTGGGGTGGGTTCCTCGTTATTGTTGTAGTACAATGGGCCCCAAAACCTTGCTCTAATTCTTGAAGCCCCCATATTCATGGCACGTTAAGGATCCTGAAAAGTCGAGAAATGCCGGGCCTCCATACTTCGATGCCGGAGAGGGGCAGATGCTGTGGGACGTGGGTCTCAGGTTCGTATATGGGGTTTTAGGCTTAAGGGTAGGGTTTAGGGTTTAGGGTTTAGGGTTTAGGGTAGGGTTTAGGGTATACTGTAAGGTTTATAGAGGTCATCGGGTCATGGGAGGATGAGGGTTGTCGCCTCAAATATATGGAGTTGGGGTTCTGCGTCTCGGGGTCGGTTTTAGGGCTCATAAGGGCTGCAGGTTTTTACAGGGGTTGAGCGTCAGTTTGGTCATGGGACCTGGTAGCTAGGGTTATGGATGAGGTAATGCTTTGGTCATAACTACTTGAAGCCCAGGTCACACCTCACGTACCATGCCTGTGTACTACTTTCATTACCCTGCACACCAGAACCAAGAAACCTAAACTCCCGCAGCCCCATGCTCTGTAATGGCTGGTACGATAATCATTCGCAGCAAAACCACTGGGAAAAGCACAAGCATTCATGAATGGATGAATACGGTAGCAAGCAAGATCATGGAAGCGTACGGCAGATTGCAGGTATATCCTTATAAGGAAACCCCTACCTACCTACCTACCTATCTATCCAAAGGAGGTAGAACGTAAGTTGAACCCTCGAGGCTCAAGCAAAGTCCGACAGCGCAGTGGGCAGCTTCTGTGTAAACCACGAAACCCGAAGCCAAATCCCGACACTTGGGTGTTTCCGAAAATAGGGGACCCTATTATAGCCTTGTTATAAGGACCCCAAAATAGGTACCCCTAGTTTTCGGAAACCACCACTTTCTACAACCTGTCAGCTGGGTCCTGGCCAGCGTGCTCGGGCGCCTGCTGTAGGCGTTTCGAAGCATCAACAGGCTTGGGTCTTCCAGGCCAGGTCTCTGTTTCCGAAGAACTGCCTGCGATAAGGGCCTGCGTAAAGTTATAGGAGGATTACGGGGCATCTCGCTCGTGTAGCTGAATATTTCGGCCCCTCTAAGGCATGGGCTTCTGGTTCTGCTAGTGCTTAGGGAGTCGACGCTTGGCCAAAAGCCTTTTGAGGGGCTTACGGGCTTTCTGGAAACTCGGATAATCTGCTCTCGGCCTGAGGGACTGATCTTGACCTACGGTTGATGATAGAAATCCTGCATTACCTTTCGGACGCTACACTATGGGAATTATGGTATATTCCTTATTATGGGTAATGCAGTATTTATATCATCAACCGTACTTCTCTTCTCAGCCCCCCAAAAACAACACAACACAACCTGTAGAGCCCTGCAAGGATGCCACATGAAGGCAGCTCTGGTGGAAGGCTGCCGGGCTCCCTGAGGCCCATCCCAAAGCCCATGAGACCCTTGCCAAGGCCTGCCCGGAACCCTCACAACCCCTCAAAAACCTTGCCAAAAGCCGGAATTGCAGAATGGAGCCCTTATCGAACCCTTCTAGGGCCCTACCTTCACGACACCCAAACATCCCCAAAATCCTTGGAGTTCCAGTCACCTTCTCCTCGTGAGTTCGGTGCGCGCGGCGCTGAAGCGCTCGGTTGAGGTGCGTCGCCCTGGTCCGGGAGAGGGTTTAGGGCCTTTAGGGGCTTGGGGCTTAGAGGTAATGGTTGGGGCTTTAGAGGTAACGGTTGGGGCTGCAGAGGTAACGGCTGGGGCTTTAGAGTTAGGGTTGGGGTGTCGCGCTTAGGGGTTAGGGGTTCAGCGCTTGAGTTCAGGGTTTCGAGTTTAGGGCTTGGGCGGCTTAGGAGACTCCACGTTACGCGAATGGCGGTAATTGCGGAAGATACCCCCTGTGGATTGCAGAGCTTCGGGATTTGGCGTGTGAGGCACCTCCTCCGAATTCACGGATGCTCCGTGAACGTCTAACTTTAGCTTGTTGTAGGGGGCTTTATTGACTCCCGCGCACCCTATCCATTCCTTCGCCAGGAATTTCGGAACATTCGCATGTTTGGGCGACAACACTCAATTGCGACAGGGCTTGAGGGCCATACTCAAGCCCAGGGTGTCCTGTGTGCTTGATGCCCTGTCTCCATATCTGAGGCAAATAAATGAAGAGACACACCTGCACATGCAGGCTGGCTGGAGAGTTCGCCTAGGCCTCTATAGGTCTTCTAAGTCTTGCAGACCCGAAGTTTTTGAAGGAGGCCTTACTGCCTTACTCTTCGGGCGGGGGTCTCCTTTTCTTCTGCCCCAAACCCGACCATAGGAGCCTCAGAGCTTCCTTGTTTGCCTAGACCTAAGGGGTCCTTTTAAAGGCTACCTCAAGGGGTTCTTTTAAGGGATCTATAGGGTTTAGGGTTTCGGGTTTAGGGACCTAGGAGTAACCTAGGCATAAAAAGGGTGCCCTTTTTGGTTGAAAGGGGCTTTTAAGGGAACCCGAACCCTACAAAAAGGGAATAAGGGCCTACTCTGGGTCCCAGTTGCTTAAGGAGGGACGGGGGGGGGGGGGGGGGGCTGAGTCTTAGAAGTGTCTTTAAAGGGGATTTAGGCTCCGGGGCCGGTGGGGAGCGGCGTTCCGATATCTAGGGACCTTGATATATGTCTTAATCAGGTTCTGGGGCCCATTATACCATAAGTATGCTACGGAACCCCCACCAGCATAGTATTGGCAATTATTGAAGCCCCTCTTAATACTAATTAAAGTGATAATAATAATAAATAAAGAATAAAAAACAAATAAATAAATAAATAAATAAATAAATAATAAGAAGAAGAAGCTCAAGGGTCATTCGGAGGACTGTGCCACCTGGTCTGCAGCTCGTGGACGCTGTGCTTCAGATTGCTCTTCTCGATCTCCATTCGATGGATGGTGTCCTTCGAAAAAGGTTCGATGTAACAAATGCAATGGCATGGGGATCAACATGGGGAGGCAACGAAAGATGCAAAAACGAAGAAGATGAAGATACCATCTTGCAGGTACTACAGCTAAGACTGGACAAATGCAAATCCCGGCAGCTACCCCGCCTGATACCAGCATGAAAAGCAAGCTGGAACCGAAACTCGGGCAGCTAACCTCAAGACCTTAAATCCCACTCTGAACCCCCACAGGCTCCCTCAACCCCGTACACCGCAAAACCGAAGCTGAAAGCTCCGAAACAATCCTAACAAAGAACAACCACTCTGGGCACCCTTACCAACAGGATGCACACACCGCTGCGTATGAGTCAGGATATATGGTACCATATATGTACATCGTCTCACGTTTATGGATCAACCCACGAAGAACGATACTCTTTTTTTGTACTAGTAGTTTAACCCTTGCAGCGCGAAACCAGCGTTAGCGGTGGTGCCTTGAAGTCCTCTTCGACACCTCACGGCATGGTCGAGGTGTGTGCTTGGATTCTGCGCAGGTCTCGAGGTTTGGGAGTTCGGCCTCTAGAACTTTGGGCTCTAGGATTTCGGGGTTCGGGGAGCCGGGAGTGTCTGTTTTGCCGAGGCTTCTCTAGTCCTGTCAAAATAGGGCTTACGCTTCTCGTTTGCAGGTTGGGGCTCAGTTGTTGCCCCACGGGGTCGCTCGAAACCCTCCGGGTGCAAGCGCTCAAAAGGCTTCCTTTCCCTTACCTTTGGTTAGTAGGGAACGGAAGAATGGTAGTAACAGTAGTTCTAACTGAACCCCATTCCTCCATTCCCTACTAACCAAAGGTAAGTTCCGGCCCAGCAACAATCACAGCCAACCCCAAAGCCTTAAGACAATCCACCAAAGAAGTGCACAAGAGCACACCGACACAATTCCGACCCATAGAATATGCCTGTAATTTTCACAAACCCGCCTCCCCAAGTCAAGGGGTCCCCAACGTCCCAAGGGAGACCCATAGAATAGAAGTTCACAAACCCGAGTCCCCAAAAAGCGGCACAGTGAGTCCCAACGCCCCAGGGGCAGGGCAAGAACAAAAACCCTAAATCCAAGATGTAGGAACCTGATTAAGAAACCTTGCGAATTTATTAGGGTTCCTTACATGAATGCTACTATTTTGGGGCTATAGGCCCAGGGGTTCTTAATCAGGTTCCTACATTACACCCCAAAGCCCTAAGCCCTAAAGCCCTACAGCTCCAAAACCCTCTAACCCTAAGGCCCAAGGTGGACCCCCCAACTACCCTCTAACATACCCTAAATACCCACAATTAAAGGACCATAAGGGCTTTATGAAAGGGTACTTGGGGCTCCAAAACCCTCTAACCTAAGGCTTTAGGCGGGCCCGGGCCCTTTCTAAGGCCGAGGCCGCAGAGGCGCGTCACCTCCTCCTGGAGGACTTGATTCTCAGCCTGCTCCTGGACATTTGGTGTTTCTGAAAAAATGAAAAACACTTTAACATATCATTATTTATGAACAATTATAATAATACATAGTAATAGTACTAGTAATGATACTAATACTAATATTACTTGTTAAGAGAGTTGCATAAAGCTTTTCTGATTTTTGGGGGCGCTGTACAGGGAGCTGATTTCTGGATTTGCCTGAGAAGGGTCCTTTCTGGATTTCGCCCGGTCACAATAGGATCTTGTAGATCTTCTTTGTGTAAACAGGGTAGAGGTTGTATCAGGTTTCATACGGTTGCATGCGGTTTTTGATTTCGGGATTTAGTTTTCAGGGGTTTACGGTTCTGGCGCATAAGGTTTTCGGGTTGTAGTTGTGGGATCTAGGGCCTGCTCCGGGAAGTCCAGACAGCCCAGCACATGAATCAGAATGGTGTAGGGTTCAGGGTTTTAGACATTTAGGGGTTTAGGGTTTAGAGTTTAGGGTTTAGGGTTTAGGGGTTAAGGGTTTGGGGTTCCGGGTTTAGGCTGGTTGGTTTGGGGGTTTAGAGGTTCACATTCACAAAGCCAATCGCGGAATTGGGATTATGGCCTCTGGCTTACGCGTGGCATATGCGCTCACTTGGGTGTTTCACAGTTCAAAACTTGTTTGTATATATACATATACATATATATATATATACTTGTATGTGCCTTGATAAGCTCAACAGGGGGGTCAGTGGGGTATGCTTCAGTATAACATACCGGAAAGCCCCTTGCAAATGATTCTGCCTTCTGCAGCTTTTGGGCAAGCTCCGCACGCTCTGCGTCGGCCTGCAGACGGAGGGATTGGTGTTCCTGACATGAAAGAAGGCCGGAAAGCTTACAAGTTCTAGCATAATGCAACCTCAAACCCAACTCAAGTTATTAAGGCCCTGTACTAGAGAGCCCTTGAAAAACTCAAGCCTTAAGCTACAGAAGCCGAAATGCTGCAAATCCTGACTGCAAAACTATAAGCCTGCACCGTAAGCCGCTAAGGAAATGAACTCGACGACTGCGTTCACAAAAATGGTGCCACGCCGTTGTGGAAGTGTAAACCCTTGTAGCTTTAAGCAACACCCGCAGAAGGCTTGAAGTCTCTGCTTCCAAACGTCCGGAAGACAGAACTTGGCAAATGGCTACACGTGCTGTTGAAAGCGCATACAGATATTGGTGTTTAAGTGTGTGTAATTTTGTGTGATGGCGTTTAATACCATCGCCGTGGACAGCCGCGGTGAGTGAGGAGTGCCTGACTTTGAGACCCTGGGAACCGAAAGAAGGGCTCGGAGACGTATTCCGGACATCTTCACATGCCTAATCCCAACGCTTCTTAACAAGTGACCTGAATAACTAGTTCGAGTAGCGTTTCGGGCTTCTTACACTTATGCATTGATATGGGGATGAGGACAACTTTGGTGGACGAAGTCACCAAACCCTCGTCTTGCGTAATTGGCCAGCTGCCGTCGCAAGCCCCTGACCCTATAGTCCCAGATAGGGGCCCTAATAGCTAGAATAGGATTTTGGGGCATAATACAGTTTAATCAGAACAAGGAACCCCCGCAGTAGTATTGGTAATTATTTAAGCCCCTCTATAGTATAGTATTGGTGATTATTTAAGCCCCTATATTAGGCTTCAGGGCTGGAGCATCTCAGTACTTGGAGATTTCGGCATGATGTCATGCAGGGGCCTCAGTAGCTCAAATTGGGTTTTAGGCAGGAATGCACCTAAAAGAAGCACTCTCAGGGAATAGTTGCAATAGCACTATGAGCTTATGGCTTCTGTATTGGCGGCGTTCAGGGCTTCCGAAATCGGAGATGCGACCTGCTGCTGCTCCTGCTGGAGCTTCTGGTTGTCCTGAAGCTAGTTGAGGGCGTTGCCACGATGATATAACCCTCTCGGGTTTAGGACTTAAAGCTATAGGGTAAGGGAGCCGGGTTCGCGGTTCAGGAATCGAAGCCCTGTGATTCTAGGAGGCTCCGGATCTGGGTTCGGAGTGTCCGGAATGGAGGACAGAAAGCTCCTTCCAGACGTAGGTGCGGAATGACTGGGGAAGCCTTGTCATGGGCTCTCTCGTAAAAAACTCCAAACTGGCACCTCGGGTTCAGGGTAATGCAGTGGCCTTAATATTTACAATATTGGGTTTTGGGGTTCCTTATCATTGTTTTTGTACAATATACCCCCAAACCTTCTACTATATAATCATTCAGGCCCCACATTAGCTTGGGGTTTCAGGTTTTGCGGTGCTTTCCTCGCCTCTGAGCTGTAAGTCGATTTCGAAAGCCCAAGGCTGCGGAGCGGCTAAACTCTTGCCCGCGGAAGTCCGACCCTGTACTTAAAGGATCATGGGACTTCGGAACTAGGGTCATAATTAAGGTAACTGTACTTATAATTACTTATAACCCAATTAAGGTACTTATAACCCTACTTACTAAGTCCCATGATCCTCCAAGTAGCCGCAGGTGCCGTCTGACAACCGAGCATTTCCCAAGAAAGGCTACGGTTTAGGGTTTTGGGCCTGCTTGGGGCCTACTTGTCGGGTATCATGAAAAACTAAAGTTTAACCTTTTTGGTTATATAGGGATTATATAGGGACTATACTACCCAAAAAAGTTAAAGGTTCCCTACTCTACTACGAGGGTAGAAAGAAATCTAATCATCTAATCTTGTTTAGATTGTTCAAGGCTCTTGCCGCCTTTAGCCCTGAGGCTGAGCCCTTGAGACGGCTTCGGGAATGGAGGTTAAACCTTAAACCCCTAAACCCCTAAACCTTAAACCCTAAACCCCTAAACCCCTAACCCCCAAAACCCCTAAACCCCTAAACTCCTAAACCCCTATAAACCCTGAACCCCTAAACCTTAAACGGAATGAGTCCGCATTTAGTGGTCATGGCTTCACCGTTTAGGATTATGCCTGGCCCCCTGGGTTCCGAAAAGCCTTCGGGCCAGAGGGTCTTTGCTTGGCAATTGATGGTGGCTTTAGGCTCTAGGCTTAGGCTTTAAGCTTTAGGCTTTATAGGCGTTCGGCTTTCGGCTTTCGGCTTTAGGCTTTAGGGTGTAGGGTTTAGGGGCACAGTCCTGCTGCATGTTCCAGAAATCCACGCGCAAGCAACCAAGCTGGTCCTGGCAAACAGAGAGGGTAGGGGGGGGTGCGGCCCAAATACGAGAAGACCCTCCGTCTTACAGAACCGGAACGCGAATCTCAAAAACAGAACCCGAAGGATATGTACACATAGAAATAAGAAGTCGGATCTCAGCACCATCAAGCCCCTTGATCCTGCAAATATTCAGTCTACATAGCTGGTGCAAATCCAAGTCTTAGTGGCTTTAGGGGTCAGGTTTGGGTTCAGAGTCTAGCCTCAAGGCACCAGAACCCAAACCCCTACACCGAGCACTACACCCCAAGACCTTAAGTCTAGGTTTAGGGTCTACCTGGACCCTAAGGAACCTGCCTTTTAGGGCGCCCTAATATGATTTCTTTATATGTCCCCTAAAAAGGTAAGTTATTTGGGTTAGGGTAGGGTTTAGCCTTTAGGAATCTTCTGCCGGCAACTTCATCATCCTGTGATCTTGAAACCTCTGGGGAAGCCTTGGGCGACAAGCCTAAATCCAAATTGCAAACCCCGGGACCTCAAGACCCAAAACTCAAACTCCTAAACTCCAATAGCGAAAAGCAAAGCTCTACAGAACCCTACAAAAAAAACCACGAAGGAGCCTTCCGTCATCCTACAGAGCTTTGTCGGGCTCTTGCCGGGATTAGCAGGTCTTGTTGGGAGCATTCCGCATGGACAGAAGATGTTCGGACTAGGGGTAGATGTCCGGGAGTCTGCCGTCAATCCTTTTCTCAAAGCCTTCAGTCGCAAACTCTTTCATTCTTGTTTAGGATTTCAATTTCAGATATCTGCCTCAGAGATCCACGAGCCCTATAAACACGGGCCACTCCCCTCCCGAAGAAACCGTCACAAAGGGGATCTCATCCGTAACTATTCCCCTAAGGGTCCAAAGGACCCAATAACAAGGTACTTAGGTTTCGGACAATAGTTATGTAAGTTACTAATTATTAGGCACTCGGACCCTCAGCTCCCTCAGCTCCGTGGCCGTCACAGGTAGAGGCTCGAAAGGGGGTTAGGGCCTAGGGTCTTGGGTTTAGGGTTCGGGGGACTTGGTAGTTAGGGTCATCAACCAAGCAACTCTCGCCATGCTTACTTTTCAGACCTGTCAAAGTACGTATATACTCTTAATTATCGAAGCCCCTGATCCTAGGAGTGGTCTAGGAACGCTCTCCCCTGGCAGCCCCGATACAGCTGTAGTTGTAGAATAGTCTACATGCCCCTCGGCTCTACATTCATTCAATCCTAAAGAAGATCCTGTAGCACCTGTGGAAAACCCCGTTCCAACGACTACTGTAAGTCCCCAATGCAACGTATAAGAACTGTGCAAACCCCGATGACCCGTAGCGAATTTCAGCGATTTTGGGGCCGGGGCTTTCGGGTTACGGAACTACTAGGTCTCAGGATTAGGTTGCTGATCTAGGGTTCAGGGCATAGAAGGAACTGATAGTCTTCAGGATTAGGGCTTCAAAGTTGAAGATGTTGGTTTTGGGGAGGCTTTCCAAATAAATCAGCGCAGACTGCAAAAGGCAACCTGTGCAGAGCGACACCGCCCCCCTGTTCTACTCGATGCTGCGTACAGACTATAGAAAGCCAGTGTGAAACCTTACTTGACTCGAGAGCAAGTTCAAGAAGACCTCCATCAGCCGCATCATCTGTTCGTACTTCACGAGAACGCTGTTGTCTGGTGCCGCCATCTTGCCTTCCGAAGGCTTTGGGGTTTCGCAAGTTTAAGGGTGCAGAAATCAATTCGGGAATGACCGCCTACTAATATAGGGGCCTAAATAGTTTACTATTTGGGGGGGGTACCTGATTATACTTGCAGTATAATGGGCCCCAAAACCCTATTCCAGTTACGAAGGCCGCTATATTAAGGACCCTTCGAGTCTCCGAGTCCCTGGGTCTTGGGTCTTTGAGAGTCGCACTTAGGATCCCGAGGAAGGAAACTCAAAAAATATCCCACTGGCCTGCCGCAGAAGGGTCGACCCCAAAACCCTAAACCTAAACCCCCAAAAGCAGGCAAACATAATGGCCCAAACCCTATAAAAGGCCATTATTCTACGTAGTCTGAGGGTCCGGCTAGACCCAAAGCCTAAACCCTAAAACCTTAAACCCTAAACCCAATAACATCCCAGCACCACAAGCAAGCCGAAAGAGGGGCCTCCTTTCGCCATCTGGCTCTCCAGGTATTGCTTCACCTGGAAGAAAGCAGATGTTCTTAATACACCCCACTCTGAACTGTGTATATGGAGGTTTCCGAAAATTATAAGGACCCCAAAATAAGGTACCCCTAATTGTCGGAAGCTCCCATATATCAGTGTGTATATAGTATGTATACTGTGTAGTCGATGTTGTAATCCTGGGGATCTAAATAGTATCAAGAGGGTGTTGGGGTACAACAAAGAAGCCCTTGGGCATAGTGTTGGTCGGTATTTAGGCCCCTTTGTTAGATAACCCCCAGGCAAGACACAAGAGCAACAGTTAACCAGTATCTGTCCCAGCGGGTAGGTTGCCATACTTCATGTGTTGCGTGAACTGCTGGATCCTAAGTAGAGGCTAACGAACCGTGGATTGAACAGTTGGTGGGTGAGAAAATCGAGGACATGCATATAGACCCCTTAAAGTTAAATTGCCGGACCTCGATTGTAAGGGAAATCGAAGTTTCAGATCCCCATTTAATCATTGATGTGGCCTCAAACGCCGCAGAAGCCTTACCACGTAGCTGAATCCTAAACATCTTCATACAGGCGCCTCATTTATCTAGAGGCAGGAGGAAAAAATTCAAGAGTTGCCCACTGTGCCACCGAAATGAAGCTTTCGTGAGATGTTAAAGAGACTCGGTAGAGCCCTGGAGTATCTCGAGTTGAGACCATTTGCCGGCGACCGAAAGAGTAGACAAAAGCAGCTGTACGAATCACGGTAGGGTCTTGCAAGATTTTACTGGCAGGGATCATAGCTGGTAACTAGTTGTACATGCTTCAACCATGCTGTTTGAGGGAGGCCAAACCCTAAACTCTGAGACTCTACAATCCCTGCACCCTAAAACCCATAACTTGATAGAATCTCCTATATAAGACCCTGAACCCTATCACCCCTGAACCCTAAAACCCTGCTGAACCCCGAGATGGGCTCTCCTTTTGGGGACTGGGGCCCATAGAAACCCCTGAAACCCTCGTTGGGGTCTCTTTTGGGGACCTCTTCTGCTTAACGAGTCATGGAACTTAGTAGCTAGGGTGATCATTAAGGTAACTGTACTTATAATTACTTCTAACCCCAATTAGGGCACTTATAACCCTACTTACTAAGTCCCATGATCCTCCCAGTTCTGACCTCCAATAGCTCCTTCACTCTCGTGGACTTCTGATCCAGCTTCTGCTGGAGGTCCTCCAGCTCTTTCTGGTGCGCCTGGCGTAGGGTCATTACATGTATAATAAGAATAAGAATAACAACAATAAACATAATAGTATTAATATTACAGTTTGATGGCTCTTTTTGGCGTTCCTGGCGTAAGGCTGGTGCTAGATGGAAGAGTGTTTAGGGGTTATACTGTTATAGAAGCTTATGCTCTTTCTGGTGTGCCCGGTGTAAGGGGTTTCGGATTTAGGGTTATGGCAGTATAGTATACTTAGGCTCTTCCGCGGTGTGCCTGGTGAGGGGATGATTAGACTAGTGCGTAAGGGTATACCATATTCTGATGCTCTTTCTGGTGTGCCTGCCATCAGAGGGTTTAGGGCGTAGGGTCATTACAGTCTAGTATAGTTGTGTAGGGGAGGTTCAGGGTGTAGAGTGATTAGAAACGTGCTGAGGGTATATTGAAGCATGAATACGCCCTTTCTGGTGTGCCTGGTGTAGGGGTGCTGATGCTTGGAATCGCGTTTAGGGGTTATACTATATACTTATGATCTCACTACGCTCCAAACCCCTACTGCCAAATCCACCCAACATGTACATAGCCGTGAGCCTCACCCATGGAAGTCCTTCCGCCGTGGACCAACCCCTGAGCCCTGGGGACCCTGGGCCGCAGAAACAAGGAAGAACCTCGGACATAAAACAGGGGTCGGAAGGGGTTTAGGGCTTAGGGATTAAACGTTTCGGGTTTAGGGATTTAGGGGTGAGTCCTCTCATAGTGCGGATAGCAACACCAACCGTGACGGTGCTCGAACCCCTACAAAAGCCATTACAGGGAACTCCAGAAAGTTGGAATATGGTTTCCTGGTAGGATACCCTATAATTTACCATAGAAGGGTTAGGATAATCATATTCTAACTTTCTGGCTTTTACCCCAAGGCCCCTTGTAGCATTCCCTTCCGACGCCTCGGAGATCAGCCGGTCTACCTGGCCTGGGGCTGGCTCTTGTCGTGTGGGAGTTTCCGAAAATTTGGGGTACCTTATTTTGGGGGTCCTTACAATAAGGATCCTACTATCTAGGGTACTATGTTAGGGTCCCCTTTTATTTTTTTTGCGGAAACTCCCTATGTAGCAGGCTGAGATTTTGGGAGTCATAGAAGGGCCTTCGGGTTTGGGATTTAACTAGGGGGCCTAGGGTTTGGGCTTGGGATTTGAATTGGGGGCTTAGGGTTTGGGTTTAGGATTTAAATTGGGGCCTCATGGTTTGGGCTTAGGATTATTTAAATTGGGGGCTTAGGACTTAGGATTTGGGCTGAGGATTGAAATAGTCTGGGGGGGATTGAAATAGTCGGCTAAGGGTTTTGGAGCTATGAGCGGCTTAGAGTGTGAGATTTACAAGAGTTAAGGCCTAGGGTTTAATTAAGATTTATCGCCCTGTATAGGAGGCACTTAGGCCTTAAAATACCTATATTATAGGGACCCCTTTAAGGTACAAGTACCTAGTATGTGGAGGTGAGGGTCCAGGATTCATAAGCGGGGCGTAGGGTTTGGGAATACACAAAGGGGGCCTCAGGCTCAAGGACTTACAAGGTATCTGGGAGTTTCCGAAAATAGGGGGGTACCCTATTTGGGGGGCCCTTATAATAAGGATCCTAGTATTTTGGGTACTATATAAGGATCCCCTATTTTCGGAAGCTCCCATGTATCTGCTGGCATTCTACCAACCCGGTTTGCTAAGTCAAACTGCCTCACGTGACCAAAAATGTCGAACGGGGAACGGGTTGATCTGCCGCTAGCTATACAAGAAAAATCTCGAAACCGAGCCCTCTGCGACGTACCCCAATATTGAGAGGCTTATTCTGAAGAGTTCCTGAGATTCCGAAGCCCTTGACACCCAGGCTTTGAAGCTTTACAAATCAAGACCTTACTGGTGCCCAAGGCCAAGGATTCAAAGCTTTAGCCCTGAACCCATGACCGTGAACCCTAAACCTCCCAAACCCCAAACCTTTCTGAACCCCTAACCCTTAAGACTAATCCTACAAAGCCTCAGAGGAAACCCTGTAAGGAAGCCCGAAACCCGAGGGGCTGTGGGTACACCTCAGAATGGGGCCCCAAAAAAGCACATAAGCAAAAATGAGGATGGGATGTCCCATATAAACCCTCTTATAATGAAGCCCAATAAGGCAGGGATATCAAACAACCGAGAGCTCGCTCCCCAAGTCTAGAGGCCATGGTTAAGTCTACTCGCCAAGGCCTGGTCGTGGTCGTAGTCTTAGTAGTCGTCGTCGTAGTAGTAGTAGTCGTCGTCGTCGGCGTCGTCGTCTTAAGCACGACCATCAGAAGGGCAGCAACGGCAGCAGTGGCAGCGGCAGCGGGAGTAGCATTGGTAGTCGGCGTCGGCGTCGTTGTGCTCCACTTGTTCTTGTGGTCGTTGTTGTCGTTGTTGTCGTTGTTGTCGTTGTTGTGGTTGTTGGTAGTGGTGTCGAGCAACAGCAGTGGTCCGAGCAGAGCTGTAAGTACTCATAGCCATCGCAGTGGGAGGTAGGTAGTAGTGTTGTCGCATTAGGTCCGTATTGTCCCTGCCGTCACTTGAGTCATTCTCATAAGTCATCACCGCTATGGTCGTGCCCCAACTCACTTGAACCTTTGGACGCTCAACCCTCTACGAAACCCCTGAAGGAAGCAGAGCGGCCCGAATTGACAATCCTCGCGAACTCGGGGTTCACGTCCACCTCAACGGGCGACGGGCGTCGGGCGTTCGGGAGGTTTAGAAACCTCCTCAAGGTAGGCTTTTCAATTGATTAGCGCCTCAAAACGCTTCAACCAGAAGAAGTCGAGGCCAAGGCCTGAGAAGCCCAGCACCCAAAAACCGTCTTACCAGGTAAGACACAAATCTTTTCGGAATTTCTGGAAACATGCCATGGACCTGCGGGCCAGAGAAACTTTCAGGGTCTGCGCAGTGACCCGGGTTAGAGCAGACTCTCCCTGACCATTATTTGGGTGGTTGTCAAAATTAGGGTCCCTTTTTGGGTACCCTAAGTATTAGGTGCCGTACTATAATAGAGACCCCAAAACGGGACGATAATTTTGACAACCACCCCATTGAAACTGGAAGCGACTGCTTGAACCGGCGCAGGTGCAGGGTTGCTGGGTGTACTCAAGGCCTGATGCAAACGCAAACACGGGTTTAGGTGCTCACAGTTGAGAGCCACAAAGTGCGGACAAGCACAAGCAATGCATGATGCAATGTCCCTAAACCCTAAACCCTAAACGGAAAAAAAAAAAAACAAGCCCAGGAAGCCGGAACCGTGGAGCTATGCCTGCTCTAAGCAGCATACACCTGAACATTCCACTATAGTAATGATGTCACCCACTGAAGAGACGACTAAGCGACTGACATTCCTGACCACGTCGCTACCAAGGAGCCAGGCTTTTGATGACCTCTCTGACCATGTCGGCCATGAAGGTCTTCTCCTGCCGACCCCTATTTCATCCACTGATTGCTGCGGGGTTCAGGGGTTGCCGAATTTGGACTGTTGAGCAGGCTGAGCAGCTTGCTTTGCTGGACCCGTGCCGTGGAACGGGTATCGTGCCTCGTGCGTTGAGATGTCGCTATTCGACTGATAGAGGACATGAGAGAGACCTGAACGTTTTTGCAAACTACCGAATAGTGTTTTCCAGTATTCAACCCATAAGCAAAGTGGTAAACAGCTATCCCAGAGTTCTAAGCCCTCAACTTTTCTAACCCTAAGACACCGAACACCCCAAACTTTTGCCATGTGTTACATCCTAAAACCGTGACCTGTCCCCAAGCTCTTGGCTACGTCCCAGCTTGCCTCAGGCTCCAAGCTCTGTAGGGGCTCATAGAAGAGCACCACATCCTGGGCGATGCAAAGCTCAGGGCGCAGAGACGAAACCATATCATAGAGGGGCGTCAATAATTAGACTAGGGGTTTGGGAGTATATAATGAACTCTTAAGGCCCCCCTATAGTACTCTATACAGACATACAGAGATACGCACCTTTTTCCTGCATACTGCGCACATAGTTCGTTCAAAGACATTTGTGCTGACGATGGCCTTACTCGCACCCTTACCAACTTTGTCCTTCGATCCTCGAAAAGGTCCTAGGCTGTGCTCATGCCTTCAGCTGGTAGCTAAGGGCTGACGAATTTTGTGGGCATTGCTCCAAGTAACACACAAAGTTCCTGTAAACTAGTAAACTCAGGGGTTGCTCCTCAGAGACTCTGAAAAACGATGCATGGCCTGGCTCCCTATACAGCACCGTTGGAATGTAGTACGGGCCTTCAACATCCAAAACCCGAGCCCAAGCCCGGGAATGGCAGCAAAGCCGCGGCAAAAAAGCCGTCCGTGGGATCCCAGCGAGACCGCGCGTGATCTCGGAGTGCCGACACTTCCTGGTTTGAGCGAGCTTACGGGCCTTAATATGGGGCCTCAACCCTGAAATTTTAGAATAGGTTTCTTTCAAAGGCTCCTACGCAGGGTCAGGGTGCTATGAAGCTTAGCGTTCCATGATACAGGGGCCTCCATAACTTACAATCGAGCTTTGGGGTGATATGTTCCTGAGCTCGCAGGAGGAGGGTTGTGGGGCCTCTGGCAGTTTCAGCACTGCGTCGCAAATCAGAGGAGCATCCACTTAGGGCTTTGCATTAGGGGGGGCTTGCTGAAAATGTCTGAAGAATTAGCAGTAGTTTCCACGATATTTCTCAATGCTCCGAAAACCCTCTCCCAACTTGCGACAAGGCACTCTCTACAACCGGAGTTGGTGCCTTCATTACCCCACTTCTACAACCTTGACTACAACCTACAACTCCACAGGAGCTTTTTCAACAGGTAGGGCTCCTAGTGCAGTACCACTATGCTACTATATATGAATTTCATATGCTAAGGTTCCTTCTGAAGGAACCTTAGCATATGAAACACAAACTACTCATTCCTTTTTGGGGTTCATAATTAGAATCCCATAAAGTGATCCCAAAAAGGAACTACTATGAAGCCCATGGGTATGCGTCAGTCATTACTCAGGCCCCTTTACCGTATCCGGTTGTGCAACTCGGGCCTTCAAGTAGGTCTCCCGCGTCATCCGCAGTTGCGTCCGTAGCCGCTGGAGGCCTTCAAGGGAGATCTCTAGGCGGACACAATCACAAAGGGTCCAAAGAATCCCCAAAAGGGGTCCCTTAAGGGTACCAAGATCTCTATACAATCAAACAGTTCTAAAAGTAGTGGAGCGGCCTGAAGAATTACAGATCAGAGCCCTCTCATGAGTTTAGGGTGTAGGGTTGAGGGTCTGGGTGTGGAGCCGGGGGTTTTGCAAATCCTTGGGGGGTGTAGTCCTCGGAGGATCATGGGACTTAGCAAGTAGGGTTATAAGTACTTTTAATTGGGGTTAATATGTAATTATAAGTACAGTTACCTTAATTATAACCCTAGTTACTCAGTCCCATGATCCTTTAAGTACGCATTCACCGGGCTTCGTCTCCGCTGCTCTTCGAAGGCCAAGCTCCTGGGTCCGTGTTTTCGGGCCTCTTCACTTACCTTTGGTTGGTAGGGAATGGAAGAATGGTAGTAATAGTGGTTATCATTGTACCCCATTCCTCCATTCCCTACTAGCCAAAGGTAAGGACGAGGCTAGAGAACACCAAGACAGTAACTGTGGAAAGTGGGACGCACCCACAATAGGAGCCCGAATGCTTAGACTAGAGCTTTGGGGATACCTACAGCATAGCTATGTTATAAGTTACATAAAGACTGTGCTGTCACAACTGAAAGCCCCTTTCCGCTACTGTGGCTTCGTTGACTCCGTAAAGTGCATAATGCTGTGGGAGTGCTGGGTAAAAGTCCGAGGTTCTTCTTGTCTTGCTTTAGCGATGCATACACAAAAAACACTAGCATTGGAAACCCGAAACCTCCAGCCCCGCCCCGAAACTCCCAACGGGAAAACCTCAAACAACAAGATATGAAGCTGGCGCCTAGCTCCAACTCTTTCTTGTGCTCTCGCAGAGGCTTCACGAAGTCATGCCAACCTGAGCTACGTCTATGGGTGGTTGCTTTTGGCAGGGCCCAGCTACAAGATCCCATGATTCAGGGGGCCCCCTCAAGGGGGAGACGAGGACTCTTGCTTGTGAGATGCCGATGCTTGCTTGGGTGCTTCTTTGGGCACTCGAAGAAATTGGGGTCCCATGTAAGTCAATGGGTTAAAGCTTACAGCTTGGGTTTCCACAAGGTTTCTGAACCCTTTGCCCCTGGGAGTGCCAGTATGAAACCAAGCTCTGCCTCGACCGGTTTCAAAGGGGTGCAAGCATGTTGTTAGCAAAGGGTAAAAGGAGGGACCCCTAATAAGGACCCCTAGGTATATACCCATAATATAGCCATTATATACCCATTATATAGCCCATTCTAGGGTAGGGGTCCCCATTAAGGGTCCCTCCTTTTCCCCTTTGATGTTAGCAAGAGCTTATGGATTGATGCACCTAAACGCCAAGCACCACATCGAGGGGCCCAGGGCTTCGGTGTCAAGGGATGAAGGGCCGTGGCAACCCAAAGGAGCACCTGCTTTCGGGGGGCTGTGTGGTCAGAAATACAGTTTGGGTAGAGATACTATATGCCCTTATACAACCACCACACAGGTAAATGCTATCTATTACGACTTTTTCAGGCCCGCAGATTGATCCAGGGCCGGAGGCCTTCTAAACCCGCTATTGCAAGCCGCAGAGCAAAGGTGGGCCGTGCAAAGCTTCGTGTCGTGGACCGCCTTCGATTCGAACTTTCAAGGTTCATGGCGTCCCGTTCAGTTCGTCGACCCTCAACTCATAAGAGGAGGGTTCCTTTAAAGGGGTCAATAAAGGGTTGTCGTACGGGATACGATAAGGGTACTTTTCTATGGGGGCCTCAATAATTAGCTAAACTAAGACCTGAAGCCTGAGAGCCCGTGAACCCTCACCACCAAAACCCTAAACCCCTAATCCTGACAACCGCAAACCCTAAACCCTAAACCCTTAGCCCCTCAACTCAACACCAAACAGTAAGCGTTTCGAAACTGTCGTCATACACTGAGGAGCATAATCGAAGGATGAACACTGTCTCGGCCTTTGCGGATTCCGCATTGACTTTAAAGGGAGGGTTTTGAAAGGCTCTATGGGGTGATACCCTGTGATGCTTAGAGTTTGGCACATGGGTTTCGGTTTGATTCTCTGGCCTGACATGAAAAATAATCCCCATAATCCAGCTTTAAACCGTACATGCCACGTCACTTGCTTAAGCTAAACCCTAAACCCTTGAAGAGAGAAGAGGGTTTTGTGCTCCTTTGTACGATAAGTATACGAAGTTTAATACGAAGGAACCCTCAAGGAATACTATTTGTAACTATTTGGGAGTTTCCGAAAGTAGAGGACCCTAACAGAGTATAAATAGTAGGATAAAGCATACAAGGATCCCAAAATAAGGTACCCCAAATTTTCGGAAACTCTTCTCACTAGTGGCTTCTCACGGGGTCTCTTCGGGTCTCGGGTTTAGGGCTCACTAGGGTTCTATGCCTGAATGCTTAGAAAAGAGTTCTGCAAGGTGGAAAGGTGAAGGCAACAGGCGGGGCATCAGCGCTTGGACAAGAGCTTCGGCGTTGCATTATGCTGTACATGTACTCAGCAACCCTGGCGAAAGCTACGAATTGTTTCTGCCTAAACCCTAAACACGAAAGTATTCAATAGAGAAGCTGCTTGAAAAAATGCTGCACGTGCGTCAGCCTCAACTCTCTAAGCTCGCAGAAACACCAAACACACTCCAATGCCAAGCCCTCCGACAACAATTAGGGGTTAGGGTTTAACGATGGGTGCATACCATACCAGACCAGACCAGACCAGACCATCAGCGGTCCGGGCTTAAGGCTTGAGGAGTTTAGGCTACATGCAGTGCGTTGAGGAGATGGCTATTATTACTATTATTACTATTATTACTATTATTACTATTATTACTATTATTACTATTATTACTATTATTACTATTATTACGATTATTACTATTGTTACGATTATTACTATTATTACTACTATTACTATTATTGTTATTATTACTATTATTACTATTATTACTATTTTTACTATTATTATTACTATTACTATTACTATTAATATTACTATTAAAAAATTACGCTTTCTTGCGACTCTCCTGGGCCAGGGCGCCTTGGCCAGAAAGCTCAAGAGCTGAACTCGATCCAAGGGCTTCTCGTTGATCTCCTCCTTCCAGTATGGACAATGGATGTTTTTTTTTTTTTTTAAGGGCTCCTTTTCGATCTGCAATGGATGGGTTTGAAGTTCAGGGTTTTAAACCACAGGGCTAGGGGTGTAGACGTGCAGGTGGCTTCTCTGCTATTGAGGGCTTCGGGTTGAAGGCAGGACTAAACCAAAAAATGAATGGGGTCCTCTTGAGTGGTATCCGAGCCAAAGCGCGTTTCAGAGTGGAGGGCCTTGCAGTTTAGGAAAATTCAACCCTAAACCCTAGACAGTGGGGCGTGGGTTCAAGGGTTTAGGAAACCCGGTGCTTGGCACAAGGCTTGGGGTTCGGCACGCAGTGCTTCGCGCTCAGGGGGAAGGACACACGCCAAAACTCCAACCCCTACTTTCGCATGTCACGAGACGCTAAATCCAAAACTCACCTTGATGAGAACTGTAACCTTGGAAGGAACCCTCAAGCATACCATTATTACTATTATTACTATTATTACTATTATCACTATTATCACTATTATTACTATTATTACTATTATTACGGACCCCTATGGAGCAAGCCCTCTTGAGACCCCTGAAAGCAACTCAGATGAGTGTAGGGCCCCCAGCTGCGCCGGTCAGGAGGCTCTCGTGCACGGCGCGCATGGCACGGGAAGACTGGGCCATGAGCCTTAAAAGGATCATGGGACTTAGTAACGAGGCTTATAATTAAGGTAGCTGTAGTTATATACTTACTTATAACCCCAATTAAGGTACTTCTAACCCCAATTAAGGTAACTGTACTTATAGTTACTTATAACCCCAATTAAGGCACTTATAACCCTAGTTACTAAGTCCCATGATCCTCCAAGTGGGGCTTTTGGAGGTTTCGAGCAGGGCTTCGCTAAGGGGGTTAAGGGTTCACTAAATTGTTGAGGGTTCTTTGGGGTTTAGGGTTCCATTGGGGTTGAGGGTCTTACTGGGGGTTTGAGTTTTATTGGGATTTATGGTCGTACCAAGTATTTGGGTTTAGGGGTTTGGGGACCCAGTATTGCTGTTTTTAGTTTAGGACTCAATGAGGTTGAGGCCTTTATCTATGAGGGCTCTTTCTATGAGGCTTCTTCGAAGGTACAACAAGGGCTCCATAAAGGCTTTGTAAGTAAGGGTTCAAGACAGGTTCTGTTGGGGTTTAGGCTTGAGGGTTCTATGAGGATTCTGCTGGGGCTTTGTTTTAGGTTCTATGAGGGTTCTGCTTTGATTGTTGGTTTAGGGTGAATCATGAAAATTTCAGATCGGGGTGGCTCCCATGGGTCAGCTGGCATTCGATGCCGTGTCGCGGTACGGATTCCGGAAGTGATTCCAGCAGGGCTGGCTGTCTGCCGAAATGTCCGCTGGCTTACCGGTTTCGCATTGTTCTTGTTTTGTAAAGATGTTAAACTGTTAGCATTTTGCGGCCCTGTCGGTGCAGAAGTCTCCACGTATTTTGGGCTGCCAAATCAGTCTGGTTTCTACAGTGCTGCTTTCGGCAGTTCGCTGCCGATAAGTTGTTCGCTGCCTCTTCATATGCTTTATTTAAATTATTACTATTATTACTATTTAAAAGTCCTTTCGTACTGTTAAATGTTCATCAGTTGTACTTGGTCATATGATGAAAAGTGTGGTAAGGAGGATCAGGAGCTGATTTCTGTAGAAAGCCCAAAACCCTCAATTCCTACGGTTGATGATATAAATCCTGCATTACCCATTATAAGGAATGTACCATTATTCCCATAGTTTAGAGTCCTTAAGGTAATGCAGGATCTGTATCATCAACAGTAAAACCCTGAAAGCCCCTCCAGCTCAAAATCCTCGAAGACGTAAGCCCTTCCTTACCTTTGGTTAGTAGGGAATGGAGGAATGGAGTACAATTATAACTACTGCTACTACCATTCTTCCATAAATTCCCTACTAACCAAAAGTAAGCTTCACCCTAAACCCCGCTCCATTGCCCGGCAGCTGTGCGTTCGACAGGACCTGGCCCATGAAATGTTGGTGATCCTCTGAAGTCGCTGGCCTTGCCGTTTGGGCTTATTGTTTACCGGCGACTGTAGGGATTGACAGGGTCAACTCACTACACTATAGGGATTTATAGGGTCTATTCATTACAAGAGTTTATAGGGATCTCGAGGGTGGACTGACCAAGGCTTATGTATATGGGTAGAAGGGAGTGATTATGGAGGTTTAGTGTATGGTTCATTATACAGCTCCACAGGACTTCATGCTGGTTTTGCAGGTTTGGCTGTATAGGGTGTTTACCAGGCGCTGTTGGGCTGAATAGATTCTATGTTTTTGGGATTTGAGGTGCTCGTATTGGTAGTAGTTTGGGCTCCTATAGCACGGGTCTGGTAACTTCGAGCACAAGGAGGTCTTGACGAGGGAGTTCGAGGGCTTTGCAGAGCGAGGTTCTTATGATTGCATTGCGCATTACCTTCGATTGGAATTGGTGGGGGGGGCACGATCACATAGTGTGATGAAACCGGTACTGTCAAGGATAATTTCTACTAGCTGCTCAGACAACCTGCAGTCTCTGTCCGCAACCGGGTGTCCGCACCCCAATTTGCGATGCAAACCCCAAACCGGAAACGACCCAAAGTCAAAACCCCCAAACCCCATACAGTGAGACCTGAGGCGCCTCGATCCCTAAAACTAGGGGGTCCCTTTTTGGGTACCCTAAATATTAGGTGCCGTATTATATGAAGTACCCAAAGAGGGACCCTAGAACCCTAGCATCCTAAACCTCCAAGCCTGAAACCAACCAGCAAGCCTCAAACCCTCAGCCCCTGTACTCTCTCAACCCCAACCCCTAAATGACAATCATCACAAAATATTCATACTACAACAATCAACTTCACCTACGTACATGCCCAGAAAACCTTAGAGTCCTAGGGGCCTGAACTTGGACATCTCGTGCCATTCTTTGAGGTCACTCCTTCGGATGCCCGTGGTAAAGGACCTCCGCGAAGGAAAGGAAGAAGGAAGGGAATTTCAGGTATTGATTCGGTACTGCCACCCATACAGCAACGCTCTAAAATAGGGGATACGAAAAAGGGCCTTGCATATCTGTGTCGTATTCATATGTGTATATACACATCTTATTCCGCTGTTAGTGAGTGGGGGCAGCATCCAAGCTATAAAGCTCTACATGGCTTCCCGAAGCGTTCAACCTGCAAAGTTAGGAGTTTGCGGCTTACGCTTGAGGGCTGGTGCTTGAGGGTTCTAGAGTCTCGTGAGCCGAAAAGACCTACCTTCTCAAGGAACTATCTATCTATCTATATATACAAAGAAACCAGAATAAGGAACCCTGAAAAGCTAGGTCTATTCGTCCACAGGTTAGGGATAGCAGTTGGACCCCCAGAGGACCTGAGGTTCATACCGTTCCACCCCTTTGGGGTTCAGGGATTTACTTTGAGCTACCATAACTGGGTTATTTTAGGGTTTAGGGTTTAGGGACCATAACTGTTACTCGTATCTATAGCAAGTCGTTGAAGAGTATGGAGTATCATGGGAAGTTACACCGAATTCCTTAGCAGCCTCATGCGCAGGGCTCAAAGGGGCTTCTTCGGGTTGAAGGTTCTACTTAGAGTTTAGGGTCTAAGGGCTTAAAAGGGTCTGAGGGTGCTTAAGGATTTATGCCAGACGTCTGTGGACCATCCAAGCGAGAGGCACGCAGAGTCTAGGGGCCTAGGGTCTAGCGCATTCATGGAGATTCTAGGGTTTGGGGCGCAAGAAGACTTCCAGGGTTGAAGCTTAGCATGCCGGATTTGGGGATGCAATGCTTCTTGATCAGGATCCGACTATGCATGGTCTGAGTTCTGACCCCGAATTTCTGTGAAAGTCTCACGTAGTATTTAGCAGCGTCTTGTGCTTGCACTTAGGGTAACTTAGGGTACTAATGACCTCTGAGGGTAAAGGTGGAAATAGCCAAGACCGCAGGAACGTCCTGGCTTTAAGTTACTGATGTTGTTTGGATTTCAGTTGGAGCATTGGGAAACATTGGGGCGGAAGGGACACCTGCCGCAGCCCTCGTCCCGAAAAAGAAGAGGCGGACGAACGGACTCAGCAACTGCGAAACTGCGCGTGAGAGGTACAAAGCCGCGCGCCGAAAGCATCCCGTGCCCACGAGAAACTGGAATGCCGGCCTGTTGATCGTGAGGATCTGCGAGACGAGCTGTTGGAAGACAACCTTGTGCTTCTTGTCAACATCCTGCAGAGGACGAAGGCAAGTCTCTGAAACATTACCGCTCACCTAGGCTTCAAACCATAAGCCCTCAACACGGAATTCAACACCCTCAACTCGCACGTTGGCGCATGTTCACTTCCGTGAAAAAGCGTGCAGTGTTCGTCTGGGCAGAAAGTGTCCACACGTCAGAGGCCATCGTGCAGGAGCCTGTGACCTAATGCGCGCTTTGCTCGCCACGACAGCGTGGGAATTACAAAAACATCGACCGCCATTGAAAGCACCGCCAGCATCCCGAAGCCCTTATCACATCCTTCAGCCAGTATGTAGATTCTTTTCCTCCTGGTCAATGGCCATACTATTTTCAAGGTTGCAGGATCCGAGTCCTTGCTTGGCTGTTCGCGAAAAGTGGAAAGCCCACAGCCCTACCTGTTAAGGACCTGCTGCGCCCATCCCTAAAAATGATATCCAATCGTAAATGGGTGTATCGCAATCGCTGTGTCATCATAGTACAGTTCACCTAGGTCCTAGTTCTTCGCATCCTCAACTTAAGGTTATGACCGTGAACATGACGCTCAAAATTGGTCGTGGTTGTGATACGAAAACTGTCCCCATCGCAGACAGGCCTCAATGATATTGTGAGTGATGACTATCATTAGCCTGTTTACCTTGCTTGTATTTCTGTTAGCTTTTAGCATTGCCCTAAACCCTAAGCCCGAAACCCTTGACCTACTTAGTAGGAACCCTCAACCCTAAACCCTAAACCCTAAGCCCGAAACCCTTGACCTACTATAGGGGCCCAAATAATTACCTGTACTATTTTTGGGCTCCTTCTTCGAGTTATAGTATAGGGTTTAGGGTTTAGGGTTTAGGGTTTAGGGTTTAGGCCCCAAGACCCTACTCTAACTATCAAGGTCCCTAATTTCGAACCCTACTAGAGACCCGTTACAGTACTCCTCTAAAGGATCCCTTTAAAGGAACCCTGCTCTACTTATTCAAGGCCCCAAAAGTAACCTAAGCACCAAACATATTTGGACAAATATTTTGAGGAATATGTAAAGTAACCTAAGCTTCTGCGAGCGCTCCTGGAGATCGAGATCTTCGAGGAGCTCCAGCTGCGACGCCTCGTAGAAAGCTTTCTTCTGAGGCGCCGGGCCCTGGAGACGTGGGGGGGCGGGGGGGGGGGGGGGGGGGCGTTCTTTGGGCTTCGGGTTTGGGGTTTAGGGTTTAGGGTTGAGGGTTTAGGGCGTTCAGGGCTCCAAGGTTCGAGGGTTTAGGAGTTCAGGGTCTAGTTACGATCGGGGAACTTCGCAGGGCCGAAGACAAAGTTCAGCCACCCTGTGCCTTAAACGTATAGGCCCGCCTATCGTTCGTGCTGATAGCCGGTAGCCAGTGCTTCGATTGCGGAGAGGTCTCTTGCATCTAACACCTCACACCTCGTCAATTAATAAAGCTGGCAGTCTACAGCCTGAGCCAAAACAACTAAAGCTTTAAGCAGAAATCCACATCCCGGACACCAAATGCCGCAATCCCCCGTCCGACAGAAGTCACAGACCACATGCTCCAAAAACCCCCGCGTTCGGCCTCTGGAAGTTCCCCCCCAAACTGTGGCTTCCATGGGGGTTGCTTGCTGACATTACATTCCCAGAAAGGCCCTGCGCCAATAAAGCAGATTATTCAGGCACATCCCAAGCCAAAATTGTTGCCTAAGCTCCGAGATCCTGAGCTCTGAATCAACCCCCAGAGCCCAACAGACAAGCCGATAAGCCTTGGTGTGCTGCTTCTTGAGCAGCCGCTGCTGGTCTTGTTTCAAAGACAGCCTTTGGTCTCAGATGTCTGCTCCGTTTGACAACAACGGCAATAGTACTTTCCACTCCTCCTCGTTCATGGGCTCATGGATCTGCAGGCTTATTATGATTACTATTGCCATTACTAGTCTCATTATTATTGCAAGTATTACTATTACATGTTGTTATACTAAGAATAGTTAGTATTATTATTGTTATAGCCGGGCTTCGGCTTTCATGTCGGGATCGGCCTAACAGCCTTCTTACGCTGGATCATGAGCCATCGAGCTCTGTGCAAGCGCTGCTCCCTGCCGACTGCCTGCTCCCGAAACCGAAAGTCCTAATAGGAGCCCTAATTATTAGAACCGGGTTCCCTGTAAAGGGGTGCTTTTGAAGGGGTGCTTCTGTCAAGGACCACAATTTAGGGGCCTCAAAAAAAACCCAAACTAGTGTAGGTAGTTATTAAAGCCCCTATACTAAACCCCCCAAAAAAAACCCAGAAGCAAGCCAAGTCGCTGCACCTTTTCGAGGGCTTTCGACATGGAAGCTGCGACTCCCTCCAGCTTACCCGAGCCCCCCTGGGCCCTAAAACCTGGGAGTTTTCTGAACACTAAACCCCAAACCCTAAACTAAAGGGAGCCCATGGACGAAGCAGGCCCCCAGAATAGCCAGGGAGGCCCAAGGGAAGAGAGCTCCCTATCTTGGCAACCACCTTTTTAAAGTGCAGAAAACACAGAAGTTAGAGCTTTCGACAGGCAGTGGCGGCTATTCTCGAGGGCGAAGGTGCATAAGCTAAATCCCAAAGTAACATTGCAAAATCACACGAATGTGAGGATGTCTTGTGCTGGGTAAGGGGTGACGAGTGATCGCACCATGCTGCGCCAGAGAAGACTAGGCTTTCGGGCTGAGGATTGATAGAATGGGTGGGGCGGGGGGGGGGGGACGTTTAACCCCGCGTCTTAATAGAACCATCACATGTTCATGTCCTACGAGCAACAACGCTGTTCGAGCCAGCAGACGTACGATCATCTGAGGATTGAGGCCGCATGTCCTTACCCAACGCCCCACTTATGATTGCCACGAATATTGGCACCACCAAGTTGTAGTGAGCTCACAGAGAGCTCTCATTAGCTTAAACTCCGTAAACCTTAAACCCTGCACGGTTGAAGGCAGGAAGGTTCGGGACTGAAGATGTTCCACAGTGGGAGGGAGGAAACAACCTCGAGCCTCCTGAAAGAAGCCGTGATGTCTGAACCCTGCTGTATCCACCTGAAAGGTGCAGGCTTCTAGACTCTAGCCTCACTTGAGGTTTCCCGACGTCTCCCTGAGCAGGCGACACCGACTCCACAATGGGCGAATTCTCGCCACCATCGTCGAGATTCGTGCCTGGGCAAGGCTGGGCATGCCCCAACGCTTTCCAAAGATGCTTCGAACTTCCTTCAATCTCTTCACTATACCCCCCCTGAGTTTTACTGTTTTACATGAACAAAAATAAAAAGAAATTCCTAAAGGAGACGATAGTTCAAGCTCACGGATGAAAGGGGCATCTTCAGCTCTGGGGCAGCAAGTCACGCAGCTTTCCACGGGAGGGCCGTGGCCGTGAGAGGACTTTGGGGACTTTGTGAGGCTGGGAGTAGTAGTAGTAGTAGTAGTAGTAGTAGTAGTAGTAGTAGTAGTAGTAGTAGTAGTAGTAGTAGTAGTAGTAGTAGTAGTAGCGATGTGGTTCTAGAACTACCTGGCTTTTCTAAAGATGGCTGTCTCCATGTATAACCCGAACTACTAGATCCCATGACCCTTGGAGGAATCCCCGCAGCTTCTCCGAAGCTCTTCTGCGCACCTTGGGGCTGAAGTGCCGACGCTCAAATGGCCCCAAATCCCTAAAGAACACCTCAGATGCTAGGCCCGGGGTCCCCAAACTGTGGGGATCTGAGGGTATGACGTGTTACAATCCGTAAGTCTAGTTCGTGAGCTACAAAGCTCCAGGATGCTTAACTAGCGCCCTAAACCCACACAGAATGCTTTTCGAACCCTCCGTAGCATGCTTGCGGCACCCAATTAAAGTTAAAAGCTGCCATGATCCTCTAAACAACCCTTTACGGGATCTGTTAAGGGACCCTTTAAAGGACCGTTTAACGGATCCTGAGTTTAAGGGATCCTTGAAAGATTCCCTTAAGGGATCCTGTCAAAGGCAACGCAGCTGAGCTCCTGGGCGCGCTCGCGCAAGCAACTGCACCGTCTTCACGGTCAGGTTCTGGGCATAGAGCGGCTTGTTCTTTTTAATTAACTAGTTATTTTAGGCTTGGAGTTTGGGGTTCTTGAAAGAGTTCTAGTTCTAGACACGTGCCACGGGGTCGATACAGGGGCCTGAACAATCAAAAAAAAGGGATTTGGGGAATATCATAGTAACTGAGTATATTATAGTGCAAGGGAAACGTGTTGAGCATGGCGGTCTTGGGTCTCCTGCAGTTCACTTGGATTCAGCATGAGGGCTCCATCTGGCCATTCTATGGGGCTTAAAGGCATATGGCATAGCGTACTGAGTGTACTGGTCGTCACGTGGGAAAGATTCCCAAGTCAACTGGGGAAGACTTCCTTGGCTTCTCTCTGGAAACAGTAGCAACAGCTCCGAAGAAAATGCCTTTACATCGTCAACCCTCAACTCCATACACCATGAACCCTGTCGTAGGACAAATAGAAACCTAAACCTCTAGGTCAGGGTTCCGGTGGAGAAATTCGGCGAGAGCCTGACAGCAAAGGAGCATTTTAAAAAGGAGCAGTAAAGGAATACTCGCACGGTAATACTGAGAAGCTCATCAGAAAATGTTGTGGTTTAGTCACTATCGTAATTGACACTAAACTTCTCAATGACTCCGTAACACGCACCCACAGAACTTCCGAGCCCTGAACTGTCGAGCCCTTCCCGCAGGCCTCATCGGCGTTGTCCACAAGATTTTCATCCCAGGGTGGGAGGATGGCATAAAGAGGGGCCTCGGTTTAGGGAGTTCCAGGGTTTTGGGTTTTGGGGCTTGTCAGATTCTGGTGGGCTTTGGGGCGGACGCTGTTCAGGGTTTAGGGTTTAGTTGGGTTTAAGGGCATCCCGACAAGCCACCGTAAAGAAACTGGAAATCCACTAAGCCGTAAAACCCCGACATACATCACAAATATTTCAAGCGACCCCATAACCCTTCAAGACCTGCAAAACCAGATCAAGTACCGCCGTCGCTTTAATCCTATATCTCGCAAACCCTAAAGCCCCGACAAGACGCTGCAAGGCTACAAAACCATAAGCCCGATAAGGCCTGTAATTCTACAAGCCCCGCAAACCTCCCCCAATCCAAACACCGGCCGCTATCATAGCAAGAAAGGCCCTGTAACCCCATAAGAACCCCGCAGACCCTATCTGAACCATCATGAACCATACCAGCCCTGCAAGACCCCGTAAACTCTACAAGCTCTATGAACCTTTGTGCCCTGTATGTAAGCCCGAAGCCCTGAAAGCAGCCCGCAAAACCCCTTTGTAAGAGCCTCATAACTTAATGATGTTGCGGCTCTGAGAACTAGAACCGGTCTGGATTACATCGTTACATAGTGTATACGGACTAAACAATACTAGTAACTCTTCAGGCTTCTTCAAAATGCCCTAAGCTCTGTGCCAGCAAGTCCTTATGGCAACCCTTATCGTAATCCGACTTATCAAAGCTCCAACACTGAACAGGCCCTATTCCAATCTCTGTGGTCCCACAAAGCCACCCCACCTTCTTCCCGTAGTCATCGATCGGATCGGCCGATGCCTTCGCACGGAGCAAGACCTGAGAACGCCAGTGGAAAATCCATTTTCAACGGATCCATGAGAGTTGTAAAGGGCTATGTCTTCTTCAAGTTGACGGTCCTTCATTTTTGGGAGATGCCATTATTATAGAGATCATTATCGTGAGCGATACAGCTCTACCCTCATTCTCCTCAGTCTGCGTTTCAGTGGTGCTTCGGCGAGCTTGCAGAACGGATGTTAATCACACACACGATTTTCGTCAAAGCCGGCAGGACTGAGAGTGCTAGTCATGGTGCTCGTCGTCGGTACCGTCATAAGAAGGATCATGGTTATCACACTGTGGGTGGGAGGAGTGTGGGGCTGCCTCGAACAGGAGGGAGGTTGTGGCTAGCCCCAGAATAAACGCCTTAGTGACGTAAAAATGGCTTTAGGTGGGCGTAGATTGTCATTACGAATCCTGGGAAATAAAATAAGACAGTGCTACTATCCCGGACTGACGTTTTAAACGCCCGAACCCCTCCGACCCGGCCTCCACAGCCTCCGTGTGCTTTGCGTGACACGCAAGACTCAGCGGAGTTGTTCCGAAAGAGCTCCTGGAAATGTTGAGGCATTGCGGTACTTGGGGGAGTATATGCGGGAATATAGGGAATGCTGTATAAGGGAGTATGTATGGACTACTACAGGGACTGCTATAAGGGAATATGTACGGACTACAAAAAGGGATCCACTCTCCCCCGAAGCACCGGTAAGCTAACAGGGAAGAATGCAGACCCTGAGGAGTAGGATCCAGTAAAGGCTGGCCCGACAAGAATCGGACCCTCCAATGCAGACGCCGAACAAATAGGATGCAAGAACACTGAGCCCAAGCAGTAGGATCCAATGATACAGAGCCTCAGTAGTAGGATCCTTGTTACAAGGACCACTGAACAAGGCACATCCCTTTGTTGAAACTTACCCAGAATCAGACTATATACTTCTAGACGTACCATACTATACTCCGCAAACCCCGTGTAGCATTGTGGGCCCTGACCTTGTGCCGGAAGTTCAATGCACATCCGAAGCCTTGGCTCTTGGACAAAGCGGCTCTCCTGACGTTGAGGTTCGCCTTGTTGCGGACCATTTCTGCGATGATGCTACTGCAGTTCTGCCTGGGAAAGCGAGCCGGCTGTAGCAGGGCCTTCTGTGATGGGACGGCGATCTACAAAGGAACGCCTTTTGAAGGAGTTTGTTGGACCTCCGGAGGCACAAAAGCGCTTCAGAGCTAAATGAGTCATGCGTCTTTGGATGTGTAAAGTTTCAGGGTTCATACTCCTTGAGACTAAATCCTGAAGCTTTGACCGCCAAAACCCACTCATTGCCTTCTCCGAGGGTTCTTCTTTGGGAGAGTACACAACTCGCGATTGAGGCCTGTCCCGCGATGCTTTAATGAGGTAGTATGGCGGCCTCAACGGGTATGGGGGGGGGGGTATGTTACAGTATAGCGACCAGGATCGTCAAGGAAGAGAGTACAGTAGAACTTTGCTAGTTCTTCAACCGGAAACGACCAACCTGTCCCTCGCTCAAAGCCGGTGCGCAACCGACACATCGGTAACGCCGACAAACATCTCTTCCTCAGCCCTTCCCAGAATCAAAAGGACCACAGAGAGAAAGAGCGAGAGAAAGAGCGAGAGAGAGAGAGAGAGAGATAGTTTGGGGTCTCGGGTTCAGGGTTGAGGGGTGAGGGCTTCGGGTTGAAGCCTTCATGCATCCAGAACTTCAAGAGAGAAAACCTGCTTTTGTCAAGTGGCATGTGGGGCTTCCTCGCAAGCACGTGCAACCTCGGCGGATAGTTTCGCTTCAGGGGGTTGAGTGATAGCAGCCTTCTGAGCTTTGAATCGGGATCCACTTGCTAGTTGAAACTGATAAAGTAAGCCTACTGATAAATCCTAAATACTCACGCATGACCTCAAATCCGGTCCTGGTCCTCTGCCGAACTGAAGCCAGAGGAAACTGTTGGGTTCAAAACCCTACGGTCACGACATTTTGGCACCAACGCAGAGGGTCGGTGGGAAGTAAGAAATTGCGGTGTCATAAACGGACAGCTCTTGTCTAATAAAGAGTAACCCGAGCTACCATCCCAACGTCAACTCTACTCGCAAGGTACAACCGATGTTCATGGCAGCACCGTTGTAGCGAAGACAAGTCGAGAGAAAGACAGGTTGGCTCTCGAGCTTCAAGATGGGCTTTAGGGTTAGACCGCATAACCGGTTTAGGGTTTAGGGTTTAGGGTTTAGGGGTTTAGGGTTTAGGGTTTAGGGTTTAGGGGCCCAGAATTCAACAACTTCAAACACAAAATCCAAGCTCCTAAACTGCAAGCCCTAAAGTGCTTGACCCGCTCATTGAGGAGACTATGCTAAGTTCTATGGGCCCTGTGGCACGCAAGGCTCCAGCAAAGTCATAAATTCATCGGCATCCTGTGGACGGATCGGAGCATTTACCTTGCAGGAGCTCTTGTGGTTGAAAGTTCAGGGGTACTTAGTATGTGGGATTTAGGCTTGTCAGAGGCAGGTTGAAGGATCTTTGTTGTGAGGTTCGAATGCGGTGCATGCATCAAACGGGGCTCTCAGACTACAACAGAAATCTCTCTTACTCCAAAGCTACCGTCAAACCCCAGGTCGATTTTTTGCTATGAAGGTCATGGGCCTGCACGTCTCCACACACGTTTATGTTTTGAGCTTCCAATCTGTCGGATGGAATGTAGGGTGCAGACTGCTTGTATCTCGGATGCACTTTCGGAATCTTGCAGATGTAGAATCCTAGACATTTGCAGCACAGACATGCCGAGCATGAAACCATTAGTGTTCTTCCTTCGGGTTCCTCGGACAACAAGGAATAATACCTCCAAGCCCTATTACCTGTATACCACACAACCAAACATCATGAGCCTTCTATACCCTATAAGACTATGAGACCCTGTTCTACTTGTCAAGGCCCTTATATTACACCCTATCAATCCCCTGAAACATAGTTACAGGGACCTATATTATGCCCTACAACACACTATAAACCCCCTGTGTATACATACATATATATATATATATATACATATATACATATACAACTCGCACAGCACCCTATTCGATTAACATGACGAAATATGACGAAACCCACTGAACCCGTATGGAACCCTGGGAACCCTGCAAAGCCCTGTCCGAATAGCAACCCCTGAAGCCCCTTACCGTAACTCTCATAGAAACCCGTTGCAGGCATCCTATTCTGCTCCATGAAGCCCCTACACAGTTAAACCCTCTGAACACTCAACCCATAAACCCTAAAAACTCAACCGGAAACCGGAGGTCCTGAATTAGTTGCACATCGCCCAACCATGCGTGAGATAAAATCCAGTCGCAGGGGACCCACACTAACGCATGGCATCCAAACATGAAGCTTGACGTGCGGGGCCCTGGCGGAGGCTCGCGCATTGATGAGCCGCTTGACCAATCCCAGGTCGCCACGGAGGCAGGCTTCCTTGCTTTTGGGGCAATCCATAAACACCCATGAATACAACTGTGTGTGTGTGTGTAGATATGTATATATATATATATATACATAAGACATATCTTATATACACACTATATACACATCTAGTATTTCACACGATTATGTAAACACATTTCGAACTCGTCCTGCGGACTGACAGGTTTGGGGGTGCTGTCCTCCTGCTGCGGGAGAATTGAGGTGGTTGCGTCCTTTCCTTGTGGATTAGGCAGTGGTCGTCCAGCTTTTTGTTGGGCGGGACATCAGTAATGTCTCCCAGCCTCTCCCTGCGTTTCGAGGACCCGCGATTTAGCTCTGAAGACCCTAGGCCTTTCGCCCTCGACCTCAGACCCTAGAACCCAAACTCTGAACCGTATAAGCCCAAAACCCTAAAATCTGAAAATCCGAAAACTCTGAGCGAAAAAACACAGAAAAGCTACCGAACCCCATGCACTTCGTGTGTAATATAGGCGCCACCAGTTTAATTTTCAACGAACTTCTTTCGTAGGTGCGGACATGAGTCTGAGTCGAATAAAGCTTCGGATGACTTGTGCATCCCAGGAACGTTCAGCTGAGCTTTGAGCGAAGCGTTCAACAAGGGTTTAATGTGTATAATGCTATGACAAGGAATATAAGGGGGACACTAACCATTCTAGACTATCGGGACCCCTGGATTGATGTAAAGGCCTGAACAATAAGATTCGGATTTTGGGGCTCCTTATTATAGTTATAGTACAAAAAGCACCCAAAGCCTACTCAAAGAACAATAAAGGCCTCTATGTTAAATGAGGCGACGGCCTGGAGATCATCGTTGGTCACTCGCAGGAGCTGGTTCTCCTGCCAGCCGCGCGAACTCCAACCACCACACACGTATGCGGGGACCATCAGAAGATACTGTTAGCATTTCATAAGGTCCTCAGATCAATTATCGTCCGTTGCTTTACGATACTTCGGACAGTACAAACTCCAAGTTGCCGAGACCTACGAGTTCCTGATCCCTCGCCTCGAATGTACGGGTTTTGATGAACAGACTACGGAAGAATGAAGAATATTGATATTCAGGACTCTATATGTGCAACTGTGATCCAGAACCCCGAACTACAAACAGCGATCCCTACTAGACAGCTATTCAGTTATTCTTTGTGTTTTTTATTTTGGAGTTTGATGCAACGAGCCGCGCAACGCTATTTCAGCCTATTCTGAGGTCAAGGACCCTGTATTGCCCCTATAGATCCCTTATAGACCCTTTAAGGAACCCTTTAAAGCAACCCCCAAAACAGTATTGGTAATTTTTTTAAGCCCCAAACCCTAAATCCTAAACCCCTCCCTTATAGCCCCAAACCGGGCCTTCAGACTCGCAGGCGCATGCCAAGAGTCGCGGCGCGCGGGCGCGGAGAGGAACTCAGGGAGGCGACGGTGCGGGGGAATTGAGGGAATTGTGGGAGCTTAGGGTTTGGGGCCGTTTAGGGTTTGGGGTAGGACCAGAGGGGCCTAGGATGCGATGGAATTGTGGGAGCTTAGGACCCGAAGGGGCGGAGGATCTGTGAGTCAAGAGCTTGTGGGAGCAAGCTTGGCCTTGTGACCACCGGCCTGGGTGTAGTTCGAAGACTGCTGCTGTGAGTTCTCATATCAAGCTTCGTTGGGAAAGGGTCCAGGGTTTAGGGTTAGTTGATCACAGGATCTGTCCGGCCGCGAACGTCCCGGCTTCACGCGAATTGCTGTGTCCCTAAAACAAAATACGCCCAACGGTTTCGAGGGCCGTTCATAGGTATCTAGGGCCCACCAGGAGAATCAAGAACTCCAAGACGGAGCAAGCGGCAAGCCCTGACCTCTCAGCCCTCAAACGCTGAATCCCAAAAGATCGTGAGCCCCAAATCCTTGAACCTGCACACCCGACAGATTCGCCGGGCGGAAAACGGGTAAGCCGGAAGCATCCACCTCGAAACCTGGACCCCCACACCCTGAAGCCCTGTAGGTACTGGGGCCGTGAACCACAACCCCCCGGCCTGACCAAACCCTAAACCTCTGAAACCCGGAACCGCCAAGCCCGATGAGACCTCATCGATCCAGGAGGTGTCTTCCTACGAGGCAGCGAGGTTTAGGAGCTTAGGGCGGCTATGGATTGGAGGTTCAGGCAGGTTTTTAAGGGTTTACTGAACTTTGAAGTAGCCATGGAGAAGAAAGTATAAACTCTTGATTCCTAATGGTTCCTTTAAGGAACATGTCCAAAAAAGGTACTCAAGTATAATGCGTACTCCAGAACCCAGTTTACCAGGCACCAGGGATTGAGAGGCTAAGGCTTGATCGGGCTTGCTGGTGTCCTATTTACGGCGGGTCCGTGGGGTAAACGGATACATTACCCCAAACCTTAGAAGCCCTCAACCCCAAGCCCTAGAAGTCCAAGACCCCAAGCCCTCGACGCTGGACAAATCCGTCCTGATCACCGCCGAAGGAGCTCAACTCTTCGAACTCCGAGTTCGGATCGGACCTGAACGGCAGGCTCTTGTGAAGGAGCTTACTTCAAGTTTAGGGTGGGATATATGCAGCAAACACTACAGATGCTTTACCTAGCAAGGCCTGGTAACTTAATGTAAGTTCCTCAAAGTAGACTCCTGATCAGTGAAGCCGGCTCCCGTACTAAGGATCATCATAGGCATCCTAGTATGACAGCCTTGCAGGACGGGCGGCTTGTGAATCAGGGGAAGACATTCGAAAACCCTTCTTCAACCAATCGAAATCCTGCATGAACCCTTGCAAAAAACCCAAATGTTCGAAATGCTGATACCCCTACAAAACCCCCACAAAACCAACGAAAATCGCTCTGTACGAGAAAGCTGGCCCAGTTTGGTCTTGCAAGCCAGGTAGATCTACGAATTACTAGGTTGGCCCCTTAAAGCCTCTGAAAGATACTCGTAAATAGGGTCCTACTAAACCCAATAAGGGAAAATATAAAATGTCCCAAAGGCCTACCTAGATTATCATCTTCGTCATCAGACCTGGGAGTTTCCGAAAATAGGGGACCCTAGTATAGAACCCTGAATAGCAGGATCCTTATTATGAGGACCCCAAAACAAGGTACCCCTAATTTTCGGAAGCTCCCATATGAACCTAAACCCCTAAACCCTAAACCCCTAAACCCTAAACCAAAAACCCCCAAAACCCTAAACCCTAAACCCCTAAACCCCTAAACCCCCAAACCCTGAACCCTAAACCGTTCAGAACGGTGCTCCAACAGCAGTCCACGAGCCAAGCTGCTCCTCCGACCAGCGCCGGTACGTCCGTCGCGGGCTGCTGACCTCGATGCCAGGAGGCTGCCTGGCTCCAGAAGTCGTAGGGTTTATGGGTAGTATTATTAGGGGGACCCCTTAAAAGGTACCCCTTCTGAACCCTACTTCTGGCTCTCTTAAAAGGGGCCTTATTGAGAGGGTCTTTATCCCCAAGGGTCCCCCTAATCCTAACTCCCAGTTTAGGGTTTAGGTTTTAGGGGTTTGGGGGTTGAGGGTTTAGGGTTTAGGGGTTTAGGGTTTAGGGTGGTTAGGATCTTCTTGGGGTTTTGAAGGGGTCTGGTGGTAGGTTCGAAAGGAGGTTGTAGGAGTCCGTGCGGAGGAGTTTTAGGGATTGAAGGTGTTTGATAATGATAGGTTCTAAGGAGATTGTAGGAGTCTATGGTAGGGATCCGAAGGGGTTTGATAATAGTAGGTTCTGAAGGAGGTTGTAGGAGTCCGTGCCGTTTGTGGGGGTGTTTAGGAGTTCAGGGCTTAGCAGCGCTTTACGCCTGCAGCCTGCAGGGTTTTCGGACCTTACGAGACGGGACCGCGCAGCCACCGGCCTTTATTGGAAGCTTTAAGATCGAATGCTCAAGACACGCCTGGCTTCGCTAGTAGTCCCAATGTAAGACCTCATGATAAGACGGTGGCTTATGGGCTCATGCAAGAGTATCAATGCACAACAGCAAGTATAAGATAAGCGCATCTTGCTCTAATAACGCAGACCTCTACAGCAAACCCCGACAAACAAACCTTTTCAGATGTGCCTGGGACTGAACATCTTTCGCAGCTGCTTCGTGGTCAACTTCACCTGTCGTCATTTGCCGGCTGCGGGAAACATAATATGGGGTCCATAATAATCAGAACGGGGGTTTTGGGGCTTACTATACTCGACTTATAGTAAGGAGCCCCAAAAACGGTATTGGTACTATTTACGACCCTATATTATAGAACCCTACTGTAGATCCCTTGTGGACCCCTTTAAGGAGCCCTTTAAAGGATCCCCCCCAACACAGCTTTGGCAACTATCTAGGCCCCTCTACAGCAGAAGCCAAAAAAGTTGGAAACCCCATGGGCCCTCAATCCTTAAGAGTCATGTATAGGGAATCGCAGCACTATTTGGCCTTAATCCGGTTTCCAACTTTATGGGGTTTACTCTATTCAGCCCGCGGCTCCGAAATGCAAGGGGCTTTGGGCTCGATTCCGGTTGAGGGTTTGGGGTTTAGGGTTGAGGGTTTAGGGTTTAGGGTTTAGGGTTTAGGGTTTAGGGTTTAGGGTTTAGGGTTTAGGGTTGAGGGTTGAGGGTTTAGGGTTTAGGGTTGAGGGTTTAGGGTTTAGGGTTCTCTTTGGCTTCCATATGGGAGTTTCCGACAATAAGGGGTAGCTTATGTTAGGATCCTTATATAATGAGGATCCTACTATTTAGGGTATCATTTTCGGGTCCCCAATTTTCGGAGACTCCCATGTGGAGTCTTTGAGGCTTTAGGTTCTTGTCCGCTTTTGTGTCTAAACCTCGTTGGTTTTGGGGTCCATAGCTAAGGCCGCGGGTGCTGTGGACCACAGTTGCAAAACGTGAGCACCTGTGTGTAAGCCACACGCCCATGCTAAATGGCAAACATGAGCACGAACTTCTTTCATCGGGTGCGTGGGTTCTGAAGTGTGGGAGTTTCGGGTCTAGTGAGTCTAGTGGATTTTCGCGGCAGGCAGCGAAACACGCTTCATAAGAGACCTCCAAGCCGAAGCCTGAAACCCTGAACCGCCAAACCTCAAGCAAAACCCAGTCACCCTAAAGTCTAGATTCCAAGGCCTACGCAAACTCCTATAAACTGCACAGGAACCTTTATCCACCCTGAAGCCCAAGGACCCTACCAGCTGAACTGCAACGCCTCACCCAACTTAAACTTGAAATGGCCCAAACAAAATATGCTTAAAACAGCTCTCCTCTCCAAACCCGTGAACCACTAAACCCCCAAGAACGAAGCACAGGAGCCCCTTTGCTCACCTTCCGTTTGTTGGTAAAGTCCCACTCGTAGGGGTTCGATCTTCTGGCCTCAGAAGGGGGCCGCCCCTTGGGGGTTGGCTGTTTCTTTTGGCCCAGTTTATTACAGGCCCCGAGATTCCTATGTGGGGGCTTAATATGAGGGCCTTAAAAAATGGGGCCTATTGCAGTATAACTATACCAAGGAACCCCAAATCGTGTAGGTAACTATTGGGTTTCGGGTTCGGGGCCTCTTTTACAAGGGGATAGTTAGGGTTAAGATGTCGGAGTTTCCGAAAATAGCGGGCCTTATTTTGTACCGTAAGCAGTGGGACCCTCATTATAAGGAACCCCAACGTGAGGTACCCCCTACTTTTCGGAAACTCCTATGTGCTGTTTAGGCGTGGCGACTCCTAGGTCTCGGCTTGGGCGTTGCGGTCTCTCGGCTTCGCCCTTTAGGGCTTGGGGTTTAGGGTTCGGGGTTTAGGGTTTGGGGTTTAGGGTTTAGGGATGAAACCCTGAGCGGAAGCTCAAAGGCCCACAACTGCCCTGGAAAGCCCTCTGCAGTTCCAAAGCCCGGCCTAATCCCAGGTCCACATCGGACTCAGGGCAATGTGTCGTTTGGGTTTTGGCCTAGAGCCCTCAATCGCAGTAAGGCCTTCAGCTGTTTGGGGCTGAAAGTGCGTGGTTTGTGTTTCTGGTCTCAGGTTTCGGGTTTTGGTTTACACGGCCCTTCGGCAGCATGTCGAAGTTCTTGATGCGAGGTAGACTTGCAGGATATGCGACTTCGTAACATAGGGTAATGTGCATACCTAGCCCCAAATGCACTTACAGGGTACCGTTCCTGCAAGTACCTGGCTTTGCCTGGCGGTCCTAATCCTCGATGAGCGAGACTTTGGACGACCGCGTGTTGTGGTTGGAGGGAGGAGCAGGGGTCTTAGTAGGTCAGGCTGTTATAAGTATGTAGATTCTGTTTAACTTGGGGTAGGGTTCCCGACAAAAAGCAAAAGTACTTTTGATTAAGACCCCCTGAGCAAAGCAACCCAAGTAAACAGCACCCCTCTACAAAACCCTAGAAGGCCTTATTGTAAGCAAGGCCTTGTTGCAAACATTCTCCTTCCGACAACAACCATGCCCCTACTTCGAAACGAGAGCCTTCACGGGAGGCGGGTCCACGACACCACCCTAAAAACCCCCGAACCCCCGGGATCCCGACATTGGCATCCGGATCTGTAGAGCAAGGTTTGTGGGTCGAGGCCGCTTGGGGTTTTGGGTTTCCGGTCTCAGGTTTCAGGGCTCCGGTCTCAGGTTTGTAGGGCGCGCGCTTAAGGCTTGTAGAAAATATGGGTTTAGGCTGACGGTTTACACGATTTTGGGTGCAGGTTTTTAGGGATGATTAATGATTAGGGTCTAGAGGGTTAAGGATTTTATACGCGTTTAGGGGTCGCTTGCAAGTTGAGGGCTCTGCGGGGAGGTTGGTGGTGCTTGGGCGACTGCGGGTCCAGGCTCCGAGCCTGTTCGTCTATCCTCAGTCTGACTGCGTCGGCTGCTTTCTCTACTTGGGGGTTTCCGCAAATAGGGCACCCAAATGTAGTACCCTAAATAGTAGGACCCTTGTTATATATAAGGACCCTTTCGGGAACTCCCACTTCTCGGCCAGTTCTTCGTAAATAGGCGCCCTTGTTGGTTGAAGGCGCCAAGGTCAAGTCTAAAGCGTGTGAAAAAGTAGACATAGCCGTGTCCAAAAGCTCCTGCAGCCCGAACATCTGCACGCGTCGACCGTGAAAAAAAGAATCTGAAGCCTCTGAAGTTGCAGACCCCTTCCCCTACTACACTTCCCGCCCTCACCACCCCAACAAAGCCGAGCCGCACCAAATGAAAACACTACTTCCAGGACGAAAACGAACTCCATCCCGCCCCCTATCCTCGCCCTCTCTCCCTCTTTCCCTCTCCCCTCTCTCAACACCCACAAGTCGAAGCGTAAAACAGTCAAAACCTTAAACCCCGAACTCCCTACTCCCTGATCCCTAAACTCCCTCATCTCTGAACCCTAAACTCCCTCATCCCTGAACCCGAAACTCTAAACTCATTACCCAATGAACCCGAAACAACTCCTTCCCGCTCAAACGGCAAACCCTAAACCCTACCCGCCAAACCCTAACGCCCTCCACTCCATGCTTTCGGGAAAAGTCCAAGAAGAGGTCTGGCCTGGCGACCCATCTCCGTGAAGCTCGGCTTCGCCAGCCTCCCAGGTATCGGGATGGAGAGGGTTAGGGTTTAGCGGGTTTAGTAGGGTCTAGTGAGTTTTAGTAGGGTTTAGGGTTTGGTACAGCTTATTAGGGTTTAGCAGGGTTGAGTAGGGTTTAGTAGGGTTTAGGGCTTTACGGCTCTAGGGCTGTTTAGGGTTTAGGGGTTTAGGGTTTCGGGGTTTAGGGCTTTAGGGTTTTTAGATTTTCGGAGACTTCGGGGTTTCAGATGCGTTACATGGCTGTTAAGCCTTACGGGGCTTGTTAGGGCTTCGTTTAGGGCTTATGGGGTTTAGATGCCTGGTTTCCAGGGTTTAGAAGGCTTATAGCTTATGGGTTCAAGACAGGACACAGAGGGTTTAGAGCAGGATTTAGGGGAGCAATGCTTTGCGGCATGTATTCGGCTGTGCCGCAATGTATTTGGAATCGTCATTCGGATCCTTCACACACAGGGTACCAAATTTATACACCGGAAAGGAACCCTAATTCAAGAAACCCCCGTATAACTCATCACGATGACTATGACTAGTATTGTCATGCTGCACAGGTCTTGAGAGCTTGACTCACGATTAGGTTTGAGGCTGGAGAGTATCGCATACCCTGCAGCCACTGAATGCTACATATGACACCCGAAACCCTACGAACCGTAAACTAATGTGGGGGTAGCGCCCCCAAACCCTCGAGCTTTAAGTGAAAACGTTCTGGGGTTTGGTGTGAAAGCCCACATCCTTTCGGCCGTTGACCCTGAAAATTATATGGTCCCAAAGCTACTACGTCACCCTCATGAAAAGGACCCTAAACTGGACTTTAATTTAGACAACTACCCAATTGGCGGAGCAGCACCGACCTCCGTGTTGTCGCGTCCGGGGTTCTGGCAGGAGCAACTACGGATTCTCGGGTGGAGGGATTGACGATTTGGGATGGTGAAAGAAGAAGCTCCTACAGAGAGAGGGGAAGAGAGAGAGAGAGAGAGAGAGAGAGGGGGGGAGACAAACAGAGGAGAGAGAGGCAGAGAGAGCGAGAGAGAGGGAGGGAGAGAGAGGCACACTGGACCAAGCATCGCCGAAGCTAACAGACTCTTGCATTTCAACGGGCCCAGGGTCCGAAACGGGAGAGCCGGGGAAGCAAAAGGCCTTTGGAGTGAACACGAAAGAGTTCTGAGTTCTTGGCGTTTGACTACACATCAGTCAGACGTCAAATGTCGAGGAATTCGATGCAACAGGGACTTAGCTGATGACATCCTACTCGCTTGCACAACTGCAAGACTGACTAACAAAGCCGAACAGGGACCGACCTAATGTACACGAATTAGCTCGCCAATTCCGCTGGGAGTTGGTCCGAGTCATGGTGGGTTTGAACGCGTTGGAATCTCATCAACTGCAGCTGAATCAGCTGATGCTGAACCATTTTGTTTGATATGGTCGATGCTGAAACTCCTGTTTCACGACAAAAACGGGACTGAATTTAGGATCTATCACTGTCTACGCGATCCTCTAGAGAGGGTCTGGGTGAAGCGACAGGAGGTTTCGTCGCCTCCCGTAACATCTGGATCATGTCCTCGAACTGGCTCTTTCGGGCGACCCGCCGGAAAGGGTCCTCAAATCATGTTTAGCACGTGAGGGGGCTAGGGCAGAGGCTTGGTGTTATGGTTGGTGCGCTGAAGGAGCGTCACCTAGAGTTCGATGAGGCTTACCAAGGCTTAACGAACATAAATGAACTATCGGACATTCTATGATTTCTGACAGAATGTTACGGGGACACCGGGTCTGGCGGATGTCCAGACACTTCGCTCCAAAACTGCATTCTGTCCCCAGACCTGAACGAGAAGATATAGCTTTCAGCTAAATCATGGTCCTGTCTAGTATTTCTCTGTGAAGCTCTATTGCAAGAAATATATAAAATCCTGCTAGTTTCAGGGCCTGTAGTTCAGCGGTGTTCACTTTCGCACCCAGTTCAGGATGAATTTCGAGAGATTCGCAGAGGCGCCTCACTGCCCTGGCTGGCGTAGATCGCGCTGCTGTCCTCAGCGTCGTAGGACGCAGCCTCAGGCATCAGCGTAGGGCTCTGTGCAAGCGCTCAGGGTGTCAAGCTTTGTAAAATTGTAAGGTCTCATCATGAGGCTTTTACAGGTTTACGGCCAAGGGCTCTAAGATCCAGGTCCAAGGACACCGGAAAGTCTGCATACAACGTCTTATGCGTGGCCCTGCATTTCCCTTCTGAAACCGTCACGACACAACACCAAGGCCATCTGCTGGGAGGCATGACTTCAGTGAAGCAAGCCTGTAAAAAGAAAACCCTGGAACCCACAATCCTAAAATTGCTTTGCTGCGTTCTTTCAAAGACAGAGATCAGCCCATGCGACGAAGACAAGCGATAAAATCAAACATGAGACATAGCAACACCAAGATCGGATCACAGCCTCTGCACCAGCCTGCGCCTTTTTTCTGCTACCAAGACGATGCTAGCGGTTGAACTTCGGCGTCGAAATCTGGGACTTGGGAGTAAGGGCATGCTGCATAGGCGCTCTTGACAGGAAGCCCCAATCTCTTACAAAGTCCTCAACCCTGCAGCTACCAGGCTCGAAGAAAGAACTCAACGCCCATTTCGCGAGATCCAGGGATGTCTTGATATTTCATACGTACAGTTTGGGAGTCTGTTGCACAGCTTTACAAGTATAAGAAGCCCCCGCAAGCCTCCGGCTGATGTTCTCTGGGGCCCTTTACAATGAGGGCTGAGTCCCCTGGCCCAAGAAAGGGTCACCATGGAGGGGGTGGCCGGCCGATAATCATGACACGATTTGGGATTGAGGGGAACTTTAACAGCACGATGCCCATGGTTGCCTACCCAGCTGCTAAGCTACAGTCGGATCGCTTTCGGGCATCATCCAGCACGCTGTGTCATGAAATCCAGTGGACAATACTCAGCGCCAGTAAAATAACATGAGTCATAATCAAGCATAAACAGGGACACTGGTCACTATGACAATCATAAACGTGCAAATTTTGCATATGTCAATTTTTCGCAACGAACTTACAAAAAGAAAACCCTGGGCTGCTCAGGTGAGGACGAGTGCAGCCCATGCCTGCGGTAGGCTGGGGCGATGCTGCTTGGAGTTTTGGTTCATCTGCAACGCTTAAACACGTCTAATCTAAACAAGCGGTATTCTTGTTAAGGCTTCGCGGTTCTATGATACTATGTGGAGGGACCTATGCATAATGCGCACTAATAGCTGTAGTAACTTTAGTTACTATCTATGATGCTTTGAGTAAGGCATTTCAAAATACTTGCCCCAAGGCCTTCAAGATTCTTGGCTCTCTCCGAAGCTCCATGCATCTTGACCTCGTTGCTGCGTTCCTTGGCTACACAAAGGCCTTCAATTGCGGGCCTCCATCAGCAACAAACTAGACTAGCGCCCCAAATCTACACTCCTCAGAACAACTAATATTAAATATCCCTGAATACACCGCGTGGAACAGAGCAGCTAGGGTTACAAGCAAGCAAAGTAACTTTAGTGATTACTTGCCTATGGCCCCCAATTGATGAACTTGTATACCACTATAACTTATCAGCTTACTTACTAAGGCTTACTAAGTCCCCTAATCCTCCAAAAGTTCTGATTATAAATTTTAGCCCCATTTGAACTGAGGGCTTTATGGTTCCGGATCTTAGGGTTGAACGACACCCGCTAGTGCCTCAAAGCTCTTGAGGTCTGAGGAATGAGCTTGGACATCATAAAATCTTCAAATCCGTGGTACTTAGAGTCTGAATAAAGATCCCGGGACTCGGGGTCCCCATACTCCCATGGAGAATAGTAGCCCTATATAATCCTTAAAGACACCCGTGATAGAAACCTCTGTAGCATTCCAAGCGGAACCCTTTTGAAAACCCTTGCGAACCACCACTGAACCGGCCCAAGAAACCCGTCTAGCTTGAACTCTCGGCTGTTCGTGCCTCGTCGCCCACCTCATCTGCGACCACCCTGAGCAGAAATGGTCTAATACATAGAAGAAACCCTAGTCGTATCCTTCATATTAGGGTTTAGGGCTACGGGCATAAGCAATGAGGGACCATTTCTATAAGTGTCAGAGCTTAGGGTATAGGGGACCACCTTATTTCGAAAGGATCGTGTTTTTAGGATTAAGGATAGAACTGGTTTAGGAGTTCTTGATGTTTAGGGTTGATGATGCCGGAACCTCCACATCCCAAACCCTGAACTCCAAAGCCCCGCACGCCAAAAGCCTAAACCACCAAATTCTTTAACCCCAAACCCTGCCAACACCAAGTCCCCTACACCCTTCCGCCCCCTCCCCTCTGCAAGAAACACACAGCAAACACGACCTGCACATACTGTTACCCGACGGTCTACATTCGGCGTTCATGTGCTGTGAAAGAGCCTGTATCCGCAAGTCAGCCCACTTACGAGGACCCAAGTCTGCTACGCCAACCAAGGATATGGGAGTTTCCGAAAATAGGGGACCCTAATACAGTACTCTAAATAGTAGGATCCTTATTATAAGGACCCGCAAATAAGGTACCCCTAGTTTTAGTAAACTCCCATATTGTAGGAGGAAGACGTAAGAAACGATTACACGACCACCAGACCTCGGCAAGCGCGCACGTCCCTGCTTCCACCTCTAACCTCCACCCTGCCCAAAAAAACCCTCAGCCCTAGAAGCCCTCAGCCCTAAAAACCTCCACCCAGCCCTCCATCTTTCCAAGGCGAGGTGCTGCGGCTCCCCCGCTGGAGGCTCAGGCTCGCCCTGCATGGATGGGGGACTCTTTGGGGGGCTTCCTACTCCAGGAACTGTGTGTGTGGTTTCGGAGTTTGGGGGAGGTTTTGATTTTTCTTACCTTTGGTTAGTAGGAATGATAGTAATATATAGTATAATAGTACCCATTCCTTCATTCCCTACTAACCAAAGGTAAGTTTTGGGGGGGTTGGGGGCTTCGCGGGCTTCCGGGAGTTTCGGGGTTGGGAGCCTGGAAGTTCCTGCAAGCCTCAAGCGCCACGCTTGAAGGCTCAACAAGCTCTGCAAGGTGTGTGGAGCTTGAGGCCTCAGGGGATTGGGACTGCGGGCCTAAGAGTTCCCCCTAAACCCTAAACTCTAAGATTTAAGTTTAAGGTTTCCGAAAATGTCACCCGGCCTCATCTGAGCTTTGCGGCACATTCGGGAAGCCTGGCGGGAGAAGACCTCGGGAATCTTGCCATCTCTTGTGGAGTCTACAGTATGGGTGGTTGTCAAAATGATGGTCCCTTTTTGGGTACCCCAAATATTAGGTGCCGTATTCTATTAAGGACCCAAAAAGGGACCCTAATATTGACAACTTCCCGTATGGCTTTGCAGCTTGAGGGCCTCGGACCTGTAATTTGTGGTATCGGGCCTCAGGTTTTGGGATATGGGAGCTAGTAGGGTTTGAGCTTTGGGGGATGTAGGGGCTCTCCAAAATCGCCGCAGGACTGAAGTCTCGTCGAGATAAAGCCCTGGCGAGCAAGATGGTCCCTGATCAAGAAGCCCCCTTCCCTCAAAATGAGGAAGCTGGCGCTGCAAACGGAAAATCAAGGAACCTCCGCAGTCCTGAGTCCCTTCGCTTGGCCTCTTGCCCAGAACTCTCTCGAAATCAATAAACAAATAAATGAATATATATATATATATATATATGTGTATATGTGTATATATATATATATATATACATATACACATGTATGCATCTGATCAGAAGATTTTCCCCAGGCCTGCTAGCGTAGAAATTCCTTCCTTCTCAAGAACCCTGCATCCTCCGTGCCTGCAGAACCTGTCCCCCATAAAGTAAAAGCCAGAAAGTTGGAATATGATTATCCTAAGCCCTTTATGGTAAATTATAAGGTATCCTACCCTGAAACCATATTCCAACTTTCTGGAGTTCCCCGTAAGACTGGGCTGCCAGCTTAGGGAGTTGCCTGCAAGCGTGCGGCTTGGGCTTCTCTACTTCAAGGATCATGAGACTTAGTAACAAGGGTTATAATTCAGGTAACTGTACTTACAATTTCTTATAGCCCCAATGAAGGTACTTATAACCTTACTTACTAAGTCCCAACATCCTCCAAGCTGGGCTCTTCCTCAATCTTGTTTGCGGGGTGCGCTGGCTCTAGCGCGACGATGGATGGCTGGTGGGCCCAAAAGAACATCAAAGGCTGTTTTGCGCCCTGTGCCATTCTGGTTTAGGACACCCCGAAATAGACTCCTCTCGAGGGCGTAGATCCTAATCCCCAATCGCGACGACAACAGGAGCCTAGACATGGGAATCCGATGCCAGGGTTTGTGATTATACTACAATTTGTTGCACTATAAGTATAATACGGAGCACCAAGATAGTATTGGAGCTTGTTGGGTTTGCGGAGTGGAAGCTCAGGGGTCCGTTCGGCATGCTAATGTGCGAGGGGCAGCTCTGGTGACGAAACACCTTCTGCCCGAAAGCTGCAAGCCCCACCTTAATCCTAAAAGTCCATCATGTACCTATACATGAAGACTTAAGAAGTCTGTACTGCAGTACATACTTCTTCAGCGGACTTAAGGGCGTTTCTTTGTCGGTACATTCAGACGGCAGCCTGAAACCCCATCCATCCTCACCCTAGGTGAATCACTAAACCCCATTCCATTAGGGTTTAGGGTTTAGGCGCGAAGCACTTGAACCTAAGGCTTGGAAGCCTCCTCGGGAAGACTGCGCCAGCTGCCGGAACGCCATCTTGGCATCCCCTTGGCTCCACAACGATTCAAGGCTTCTCGCAATTTTTGGTAGGGTTCAGGAAGTTTAGCGTGTTGGGGGAGTGAGAGGCAGTTTCAAGAGATCAAAGGTGCATCAGGTTTTAGGGTTTAGGGGTTTAGGGGTTTAGGCTTTAGGGGTTTAGGGTTGCTGCGGTGAACTCAGGCAGAAGTCTAGGCGGCTAGGCAGTTCTGGGCTTAGAAGATCGGGGTTCCAAGTCTGAGCAGGTCCTTGTAAGGTCATTCAAACCTTTCGAGTCAGGATAGGGGAGTTTCCGACAATTAGGGGTACCGTATTTTGGGGTCCTTAAAATAAGGATCCTTCTATTTGGGGTACTATATTAGGGTCTCCCATTTTCGGAAACGCCCACATTAGAATGCCACTGGCTAGGGGTTCTGGGCTTAGGAGGTTCGGTCTTTAGATCAGGCTTGGGAGGCGCCGCCCTCAAACCGAAACTCAAAACAACCGAAACACAAACTGCGACACCCGAACAGAATGTCCCTGAGGCCCGAATGACTTATCTCGTATATGGGTCTAGGGTTTAGGGGCCCTGAAGAAATGGTCCCGAAAAATGTCCCAAGTGCATGGCGTTGAACTGACACTATACATGGCTTCGGGGAACTGTCACAGCGCAAGAAAGGCACACTGAATAGGACGGCGTACACTCAAAAAAAGAGTTCGCAATGATTCCAACGGTTCGCGGTACTTCGGTCATTCATGATTTCGTCGTCCATCAGCATCAGAGGTGTATGGTACGATTGCATGACACAGCACAAAGCCTATGCAAGACGGCTGAATGCGATCAACCATGAAGTTCTCATCTCTTTCAGCTCCCGAAGGTTTCAATGTGTATTCAACTCCAATGCTCTAGGGGCCCCCGACCACCTAAACCTCCGCTGCCACGTACCAAAACCAGCCGAAAGAGCCAAGAAATCCCCCAAACCCCGACGACTCATGGAAAATCCTCGACCTTCAGAACTTAGTGCCGGATGGAGATCCTCAGCCCGGCACTGTCGATTCGGCGAAAAAGCAAGGTGTGAAAGGTCTCTGCAAAGTCGTGGCTACACCGTCACACTTGGGCTGAAGATCTCTGAAAAGGGCTTCAGGCCTGAACTTGAAGGCCTTGCCCTGTCTGAATCTAGGCAAGAAATAAGATGCTTCTGGAGTTTCTTGGGTTCAAGGGCTCCTGCTCACTCGACGTGTAAAACCCCCCCCAATTCCTCAGCTGACCCATGCCGGGGTTTCAGATCTCTTCTTCACTTGAGGTGATGGTGCCGCGCCGCAAAAGAAGCAAGGCTTGCAAAGCAGAAGCTCGGATCTGTCTTGGGTGTTGAAGGTTTAGGGTCCTGGGCTGGAGAAGTTGCGGCTGGAGGTTGCCATCTGACTTAGACGTTGGCCCGACTTGGTGAGGCTCACTGGGCTTCAGCTACGCCTGAGCTTTGGGGTGTAAAGAGTTGGGCACAGGGTATAGGCCGGTACGAGGTTGAGGCTCACAGGTACCGAAGCTGGAAGATGTAGGAAGCTATATCGCATCGTGAAGCCCAACCAGCCCACTTTCATATTCTTCACCCTTAAATGCTCACAGTAACGAAGGATGCGCCGAATCTCGGGGTATGGTGGATACTGCTCCACTTCTTCGTATGGTGGATA